TTTATTTCACTTAAGAGTATGGCCTCAATGTGCATCCATTTAGCTATAAATGACTCTAATTTCTCATTCTTTATGGCTGAGTAGTACTCCATTTTATAAAAAAACACATTTTTTATATCCAATCTCCAATTATGGGCAATTGGGCTGTTTCCAAGCTTTAGCTATTACAAACTGTGCTGCTATGAACGTGGGTGCATATATATCACTGTGATATGATTCTTTTAATTCTTTTGGGAAGATACCCAGCAGGGGAATAGCTGGGTCAAATGGGCCCCCTCATTCCTAGTTCTCTGAGGTATCTCCATACTGATTTCCACAGTGGTTACACCAGTCTACACTCCCACCAGCAGTGGAGAAGGGTTCCTTTTTCCCCACAGCCCTGCCAGCATTTGTTATTGGTTGATTTCTTGATAGCAGCCATTCTTTCTGGCGTGAGGTGGCATCTCAGTTTTGTTTTCATCTGCATCTCTTGAATGACCAGTGATGTTGAACATTTTTTTTATATGTTTATTTGCTATTTCTACTTCTTTGTCTGAGAAATGTCTGTTCATTTGAGATGCCCATTTTTAGATTGGATCTTTAAATTTGAGAGGTCTGATTTTTTAAAGTTCTTTATATATTCTAGATAGTAGACCTTTGTCTGAGGAACAGCTGGGTTGTCTCTTCACTCTGTTGGTGATTTCTCTTGCTGTGCAGAAGCTTTTTAATAAGAAGAGATCCCACTTATTGATTGTGCAATATACACAATTATTATGTGTTAATTTTTTTAAAAAGGAGGGGGGCAGTGATCTCAAAAGGCTGTACCCATGTATTAAGCCTAGGAATAAAAGAATCAGTGATTTTCATTTTGCAGTGGTCTCTTAAAATACAGTAGTTACACCAACACATCAGTCCAGAAGCCCAAGTTGGAGATAAGGGGGAGAAGGCCCTTGGTGTATCCCAAAGAGCTTAGAAGGCTCAGCAGCCAACCAGCTGGCTCCAGGTTAGGGACCAGAAGTTTGTGCACAAAGACCCTATTGGTCATGGCTGTGTTGTACAGATCTTTGTACCATGGGTCAAATCACAAATACCTACTGTAACAATTCTGCATTATAAGAGCATGGAGTTACCCAGGGCAGCAGACAATGTTGGTGCCCACCACTTCCTTTTCTGGTTCTGTGAGTCCATCTCCATCTCCTATGACTTGGTTCCTAATAGCTGCAGCTACTGGTGCCACTGATCCAGAGTGCCAAAGGCCCCAGAGCCAGGGATGGCTGTGGTAGGATCATAGCCTCCATGTGGGAACAGCTCTCAGGGGCCATTTCCACTCCAGAGCTCTCTGAGGTGTCCCTTGAAATCACCCCTCTTTAGCTTCTCCCCTTTCTTTGTCTTGCTCCTCTAATTCCCTTCTGGTTTCTCCTGGAGGCATTTTCTTAAATGCATCACTGCAAAACTTATCTCAGGATCAAAACTTATCTCAAAGCTTCTGGAAAACCCCATTTTCAAAGCATAGTCACTTTATTGTGGATATCAGTCTTGGCCTTGGGTGGTGGCCATGTAATATACAGCCACTGAGTGTGCGGGGGATTCCAGCTCCTTGACCTTGTGCCAAGAACAGTAGCAGCTTCAGTCCCAAGAAGGGGCCCAATGCATGGTCTGCATTGAGGTCATGTTTAGGAAATCGCAAAGAACATCACACCACAGCCATGTGACTTCCCCTTGGACTGTTTATTTGATTGCTGTTTAGTCAGGGTCTTCCCCAAACACCTTTTGATCTCCATCATGGCCTCTTTTCAAGAAGGTGGAGACTGCCCAGCTCTTACCATCTTCACGGTCCCCCCTGCCCACTTGCATAGAATATTTCAAAATCAAGACTGAAACAGGAACTTTGCTGGGTTTTGCAACCCAGAAGCATGTTCTAGGCCTACATTTATAGATAGGGTCAGGGAAGAGCAGTGAGTCCATGGGGTCTGTCTACACTAAGGGTATCACACTGGGGTGGCGAGAGCAAGGGGAGGGGCACTTTCTGAGTCCTGGGGCTCCAGAAACCTCAGAATGACTGACTCATGGCAGGGAGAGCATTAGGAAAATTGACAGAGGCACACTGCCTCCATGTGGGAGGTGCTCACTTCCCCTTAATTAGATTAGATAAAAATAAAAGCAAGTCCACAAACCCACAGTAACCAAACACACATGAGACACACACGAAGTCTCCAGAGAAACACCCTCAGATAGGCTGAGAGATCTGGGGCTTTAGCCCCCTAACGCAGGAGCATTCCCAGAGAGGGGGACAACAGCTTCTGAGGCTCCGGGGTCTGGTCTGACAGGTGGTTCTGGCCCACCTGGCTGAGAAACACACTTGTCAGTGACTTGCAGGAAGATTTGTACCCTGGGCGCTTCCTGAATCTAGAGAGCTGTTATCCCTGAATCTGTTATCACTATCAGGGCAAAGGCTGGCCAGTCCACGTGGCTTTGCATGTGGGGACTGCCTGGCTCCAGGTCCACTTTGCTACTAACCACTATTCTCAGAGCCCGACACACCTGTTGCTTAGTAAGCATGCAGCAAATGTTTATTGGATGGTGAATGAAATAATCAGGAATGAAATCCTATTCTCCCAAGAATACACATTTATAACCTTCATTGGTTATACAATGGTTCTTTTTGAGCCTGCAAAGTGGAATTACAATTTACTTATTTTCCTGGCCCTAAAGGAACTTTATTTTTTAGTTGAAGCTGACTCTTCAAGTGGAGCCAGGGGATGAATGTGGCTATGTCCAAATGGGAGGGTCTTTGACAAATGGACTGGTGAATTTTAACAGGATGATCAATCCATTTCTGGGGCAGGAAGTGGCGCTGGGGCTGGAGGTCAGGCCAAGGTCTGTAAGTGTTGGGGCTGATGTCTAGGAGGAGGGGCAGTTTTCTCCTGCCCTGGGGAAGCTCCGGATCTGGTTGGTGGTGAAGAAGCCCTTGTTTAGCTGCCTGGAGAGATGGTATCAAGTACTAGAAGGGTGGACATTGAGGCATGGGAGGAGGGAGGTCGGGGCTGTGGAAGAATTGAGGACCAGGCAAGAGAAGATGGATAGAGTTGACCCGGGCAGCTTTACAGCTGAGCTCAGGCACATGGGTGCTGGTCTGGGGAGAGAGCCCCCAAGCCTCTGGGGCAGAAGCCTGCTCTGAGAACATTGGTTTCCAGGGAAGGTTCTACACTGGATTATTGGACCCACAGGGAGTGGGGAGGGCTAACCCAGGGTATCTACACTGCAGAAAGTCAGGAGGGTTGAGAGGTGGTGAGGAATGAACAGTTTGAGGCGGCAGTGAATTTAAAATGATTGCACTTCAAGTCTGCCTGGGGTGCTAGGGTCCCTTTCCACATGACCAACCTTGAGCTTTAGGGTCTGGCTGTTGGAAGAAACAGTGACCCCAGATTTCCTTCTCCTCCCCCAACACCACTCCAGTTTGGAATAGAGACTAAGGATTCTTGGGGAATGGTTTGGATACACGATTTTTGGGTTTTGTTTTGTCTCTCATGTCAGGGCTCTGCAGACGCCAGCCACACAGCCAGCTATTTTCAGGAGGAACAGAGCTGAAGCTCACTGGAGGTAACACAGGTCCTTCCCAGGGAGGACAAGGCACAGTTGCCCCAAATTCCACCCTACTCCCCAAAAGTCTCCCAGCAGTGTTACTCAGTCCAGCTCAGGCAGGGGAAGGGCCCGGATAACTCAGGGGCAGAGGGAAGCATGGAGCCCACAGGTCAGGGCACCATGTGCCACCACTTGAAGGTGAAGGGCTTCCTGCGGACATTAGTGCCGCAGTGCACCTCCCCCAGGAATTTGTGGTAGGCGGAAATGTCGTCGATGAAGGTGCAGCAGAAGCCCAGGGGCTCCAGGAGGCTACGCATGTGCATCTCCAGACAGCATTCCTCCTCCACCTGGGGCCCAAAAGGCTTGGGGATGCCCAGGTCCTTGTCCAACACGATCATGTTCACCTGTGGAGCGAGCAGTTGCTTTGTGAGCACCTACTGTGTGCCTGCCCTGTTCTAAGCTCCTTGGACCCTCACCACAATCTTATGACAGGGATACTGGGACAATTCTCTTTATAGGTAGGAAATCTGAGCCTCAGAGAGTGCTAAGCAATTCACAAATGGCAGACCTGAGTAGAAAACCAGGCAACCTGCTTTGCTACATATGTATATATGTGCAAGAGGGCACCTAAGTGTATTACATGCATGGACATGCAGCTATCTATGCGTGCATCCATATGTACATGTATGTATGAATATGCATGCCATTTGTGTGTACACATGCAGATGTGCCTGCTGCGTATACATGTGTGTGTGTTGTTATGACCTCCGTCTTTTTTTTTTTTTTTTGAGGATGACCTACTTCTATCTTTTTACCTTTTGCAAAACAGCTTCCTATTTGTTAAGGTAGAGAGTTCTCAGTACCCCAGGGAGGCAGGTGGGACAAGCGTGTCACCCTGAGGAGGGAACAGTGGCCCTCAGAGAAGGCAGGTGCCTGGGGTGAGGTCACCCAGCAGCTCAGCCTGGACAGGGACCTGAGCTCCTTACTGGGAAGCCTTGGCCACGGCTCCTTCTGAATCTGACTGTCCCCAGCTCAGAGTGGATGAGGTCTGGGGTCCCAAGGGTCTCACCATGTTTGGGAAGAAGGCTATGGCCTGGCGGCCCTCGTGCATCTTGAACAGAGCGGGCAGGTCGATGATGTCCTGCTCCGTCAGCCCCAGCTCCCTCTTGAGGATGTCGCGGTTCCAGTCTAGACAGCGCTGGGCGGGAGCAGGCAAGGGGATCGGGTAAGGGACACACAACTGCCACCTTGGCTGCAGTGTCAGGCTAAGGGCCCTGGTCCTCCAGAGAGACCCCCAGCTCTCAGCTGGCACCTGGTCACCTCCCCCAGTGCCCCTCCTCAGGGCTTGGGGCAGTCATAATGGTGACAACAACCCAGAAACAACACCAGCAACTCCCCTCATGAGCACCTCCTCTGGACCGGACCCCGAGGTCACCTCAGGACACTGATGATGGCTTTGCTAATGATCATAGCAGCAGATGTATAAATGTGCCTGGCTCTGTTCTGAACACTGGACACGGGGACTTAGTTCAGCTTAACCTCTTGGGGAGATGCCAGCATCACCCCCTTTTTAGAGATGGGAGACCACGGAGAGTCATAGTGAGATGCCTGGGTTCCTTCTGCCCAAAGCAGGGGCCACAATTTGACCTTAGATCTACCTGACCTCAGGAAACAATCACTGAGGGATGCTTATAATAAACCCAAGTTTCAAACAGCCAGAGAGGGGATTGATGACATTTCCTGGGTCTTACGTCACTTTCCCCACCATGCAGCAGTTTGTTGGGGTGTTTGGCCCAATCAATACCTGTTGCCTCTACCTCCTTGCTCTAGTGATTGAGTCAGGGATGGGCAGTAACTCAGCATTAAGCAAATCAACATAAAGACCCCTGGGTACAGTAATTGGTTCAAGTTGGCTTAAATCAGAGTGAAATGCAAGCTCTTATTCAGTTGTTGCAGGGGATAAAAAGTTCTATGTTTGTGCATGGTATGCTGGGTGTATGTCAGGCCCTGAACTACTTGCAGCCATGAGGGCACCTGCAGAGATCAGGAAGTGCAGAAAAATGGAGTTGGAGCCCTGATCAACCTGCGCCTGAAATCCATACCACTGCTGGACTTCCCACTTATATGAGTCAATTATGCCTTTTTTGTTTGTTTGTTTGTTTTTTTGGTACTGGGGATCGAACTCCGGACCTTGCGTGCACTTGCGAGGCAGGCGGCGGAACCACTGAGCTAAATCCCCGGCCTTTTTGTTTAAACCAATTTGAGTTTTCTGCTTCTTAATTTTATTTAAAAATAAATAGAAATTTAATTCAAATAAATATGACTGGTTTCTATTTCTAGATATAATCTTGAGGCTTAAGAACTCAGTGGGGTCAATGCATGGACAGAAAACTTCAGTATCTGTGACTTCCTAACACCCAGAGGTCAGGACTTGTGCTTACGCAAGAATTTTTCTGGAAAGCATGTCTGTAGTATTTATCATGTTCTAAAGGAGCGTGTCTTTCCCAGACAACATGAATTCTACCCTGGCAGAGATCTTGGTCCTTTGGGACTGCTGGTTCCCTACCTTCCCAGGGCTTCTAGCCCTGCTAGAGGGGACTTTGATGTCCCTTTATGCCCACCTTTAGCACAGGATGACAGCAAGGAGGCTGCTCGTGGGCTTGTTGAGGCCCTCCGAGTGCTGGCACACTGGATCATAAACCCCTGATCAGGAGCCCCTGAGCCCTGGGCATTCTCCGTGGAAGCCCCAGGACACAATGAGGATGTGAGTCTTGCCCTCCCGGCCCGCACCTGGAAGTAGTGGTTCTCCTTCACAAGGCTCTCATTGGACAGGATCTTGTTGATGGTGATCCGCTTGCTGCTCATCCCCCCCAGGCCTGTGAGGTCGGAGGACAGGACAGTTGGAATCGAGACCCCCCGGGCCAGGCCTCCGTCTGAGCTCACAGCAGGACTTGGAGGGGGACAAGAGGGTGAACCCAGGCAGAGGCCCAGGAAGGAGGGAGCCCCACACCATCTGCCTGGGCAGGGCTGTGTACACTCCTTTCTCCTACATGGGTCCTGTCACCTGGGCAGAGAAAGGGGTGGGAGCTGACTTGCTCTCAATCTGGGCAGTGGGGGTGGTGGTGGTGGCATCAGTAACCACCAGGTTCTCCCATCTGGAACCTGCTCCCAAGAAGAGCAGCTGACCAGGTGAGGGTGAGAGCAGCCCCATCATCTTTCCTGTTGTCCAGACTACCCCTAGCTCTGACCCTGCCCTGGAGGCGGGCCTGTCTCCCCTCCGGTCCTCCTGACACTTGTGGCTTTGGTTGATTAATGACACCTAAGGCCCACTTAGGTGTGGCAGGTGCTCTTCTAAGGCTCTATGTGGATGGACTCATTAGTCCTCCCCACATTTCTATGCTAGATGAGGAAACTGAGACACAGAGCAGTTACATGACTTGTCCAGGGGCTCACAAGCAGCTCATGGCTGAGCTGCTCAGCACATCAGAGGTTGACAGCTGAGCCTTGCTCCTCACCCATGTTTCTGCCTGATCTAGGAGGCACCTTGTGGATCCCTGCACTTCCTAGGCTTGACAGTGGCAAAGAGATCAGGGCTGGTCTGAGGATGTAACCCAGTGGTTGTGCCTTTGGTTAACATGTGCAGGGACCAGGGTGTGATCCCCAGTACCGCAACAGAAAAAAAAAAAGGGAGAAAGAAAAAGAGAGAGATGGGGCTGTTAGACCCTTATCTGAGTTGTCTCCACACTTCTCACCCTTATTAGCACAAAGGTAATAGTGGTTCCTATATCCTATGGGTAGCTTTTAGGCTGTGTTTAACCTAGAAAGGAAGCTGCAAAAGTCAAGGCTCATGCCTGCCAATCCAGGAAGAACCTTCCCTTCAGGGATGGGGGATGTTATAGACAATGTCCTAGTCTGGCCCTTTCTGTCCTCTGATGCCTGCAGGAGTGAGGAATGCTGTCTTTGGATATGGAGGACAGAGATGTAAGTGCTGACCAGCCTTGGGAATGCAGACTTTTGGGTATGAGGTATATTGGGAATGCCCACCTGAAAAGTGGCAAGAAGCAATTTAAGAAAAAACTGTATAACTGATATAAACAGAGGTGATGGCTATTCAACAATGCATGTGTATTTTGGTCCCTGTATTGTGTACTCACCTAAACGATAGAAGGGTGATGTAATTTCAGCACAATAACAGCAACCAAAAAGCAGTAGGACTTGCCACGGCCTCTAACCTGGCTCTCTATCTCTGCCTGATCACTTTCCTCCTTTACCATGATTAATTTAAATGTGAGCCTTGGCCCAGTCTATACCTGGCCCAGTTAGACAGATGTCTAAATTAAGTCGATCATTTTTCACTCTGGGACCGACAGTGACGATGCCTGACTGTCATCGTGGCTGCCGAAGCCTGTTTTTTTCCCTGGCCCTAAACTATTCTCAGTCTGCTTTCCTCCCCACATCCCTTTGTGAAGCAAGAGCTCCTGGGTGCAGATTGAGCACAGGTTTTGGAACCTCTAACTCTCCCAGGGGCTGTCACACATGAGGTCCTGAGAAAAGATTCTGTGCTGTGGGTGACAGTAAGGAGGAGGGGCAGCTCAATGAGCCACTTGGCTACAGCAAGGGACACAGAGGCCAGGGCTGCTCCCACTGGGGTGGCCTTGCAGACCCTAAGGGGGGCTAGATGCCCAGGGCCATGTGGCTGGGTACGTGGGGACAAGGCGTGCAGCTGGCCCGTCCTGCTGAGGGTATCTCAGGGGCTCCCTGACGAGGTCCTTGGCTACTCACCCTTGAACATGATGGCTTCCCCATGGCCCTCCTTTTGCTTCTCTTGGAAGAGCTTGTAGCAGGCCGCAGTGCTGGCCATGAGCAGCCGGAATTCCTGTGAGAGGCAGTCAGGCAGCATGCTGTCAGCAGGGAAGGCAGCTGGGGAGTAGGAAGGGTCCCTGTCCTGTATATTCCGAGGACTATTTCTCACCCTTCTGCCGTCTTGGCAATGCCAGGGAGTCAAAGCTCAGAGTCAAAGGTGGCCTTGGACAGAGTGGAAGAACTTCCCCAAGATGCCACAAGCCAGGCCATTTGCACAGGATTTTTAGGGTATGGGGTGACAGCCACTCCTTTTCAGAAAATGAAGCTACAGACCCCAACCTGTCTCTCTAGAGCATTATGGCCAATATGGCTGCCACTAGGGTCACGTGACAAGCATTTAACTATGGCTAGTTGAACTAGAGATGGGCTAGAGAGTAAAATATTCACCAGATTATAAAGACAGTATAAAAAATAATGCAAAACTGCTAATTAATACTTTTTATATTGATTACACATTTAAATGCTGATATTTTGGATTTACTGGGTTAAAATTTACCTGTGACAGTCACAACATACAAACCAGCTTCAGCCTACTTCCTTCTTCCCCTGTGCTGCTGCTTCCCCTCTCCCTGCCTTCTGCTGGCAAAGGCTGGCAGCCATGGGTTCTCTGCTCTCCTATTCACTGTAGTCCTGGGGACAAGCTCACCTTTTTGCCTGGGATGGGGACGAAGGTCATGAACTCGTCCACGTGACCCACGGTTAGCCAGTCCGAGTAGAGCTCCACAGGTGCCTGCACCTGCTGGGCTGCCAGGAAGTCTCGCACCACCTTGGTCATCCGCCGCCCGCCAGACCTTGGGTGAGGGTAGGGAGCGGGTTGCAGAGGGCCTGCAGCCTGGGCCAGCGTGGCATCAGCCTGGATAGGCTTCAAGATCTGCGCTGGCCCATTACCAAAGAGCCACAGTACCTTCTACTCATTTTAATCAGTTCAAGAGACACCTCCTCCAGGAAGCCTTCCTGACTGGTAGACTCAATGATGCCTCCAATCTGCCCCTTATCCTTAAGCTACAGCCCAAGTTCCTTCCAGTGGCCAACAACCCTCCCTGTGACCCGGCTCCTGCCTGGCCTTCCCATCTCACCTGCCTCCCCTCCTCTGGGTTCTGTGTGCTCCGGCCCTCTGCTAAGCTCCTCACTTTTTTTTTTTTGATATTGGGGATTGAACTCAGTACCTTGTGCTTACGAGGCATGTGGCAAAACCACTGAGCTAAATCCCTGGCCCAAGCTCATACTTCTGCTCTTGCTGTTCCTGCTGTTTTAAGCTTTTTCTCTCCTCTTCAACCTCCATGGCTCAACTCTGAAGTCACCACTTCAAACCCTCCAGAGCCAAAGACCTCTGTGCTGGGCCCTTTATCATGTTCCTTGCTTTGTCCCCCTTACACTTGTCAGCACCCAGAAGCACCATGTCTCCTGCTGCCATGTTCATCCTCTACACCCCTTACCCAGCAAGAGCTCCCCAGGCTGGAGCTTTGTGTTCCGGTTATTGCTGTCTCCAGAGCCTAGAACAGAGCCTGGCACGATCAGTCTTCAATAAGTATTTGTCTCTAAGAAGCCTCCTAAACTCTGTCCTTGGGCCCCCGAACTCCCTGTTCTTCTTCCTGTTGCTCTATGCCCTTCTCTTTCCTAAGGGCCAATCTGCATATCTGTGACCTCCCCTGGCTCTTTGAAGGCAGGGCTTGGCACTTGGCTGGTGCTCAGGAAATAGTTGCTGCATGGAATGGATGAGCACCATTGAGTGGAGGGAGAAGAGAAAAAGGATGGAAAAATGGTCACTGCCTGTGTCCTCTCAGAAGGTGGAGCATCCCATGTGGCTCAGAGGACTTGGCCCAATGCCTGGATGATTGCATACATCCAGGTTCCTGGCAGCCCTTTTGTGCAGTGATAACCCAAGTACACATCTTTTCCCCAGTGAATGCCTTGACCAAGGAAGAATCTGCCTTTTCGTTGGTAGTGGATGAACTGGGCTGGGCCACTTCTTTTTATGTTTCTTTCATGTATGGGCAGCCTTGAGGATTCATGGGTGTGCTCCCACTCGTATCTGTTGGTCTCCCTTCCCTAGTCTCTGCTCTTTCCCATTGTTTTATAATTTCCTTATACACTCTCCCATTTGAGGAAGAGACTTGTTTCTTTGGGTATTTATTAGATCCTAATTTATACTAAGATGTAAAGGCTAACTTGTGTTTTTTTTCCCCCGAGAGCATCTATATCAACAGACAGTCATGACAAGAGGTGATTCTCCCAGCCACTCATTCCATGCACGTGCAGCCCAGGTGACTCCTAAAGAGAAACATTCCCGGCCTGCCCCATTGCCCCAGCTCCATCCTGGCTTCTCTTACAGAGGGAAGCTGCTCCCAATGAGGATCCGGCCAAGGGGGTATGTCTTGCCATTCACAGTCACCGGGGGGCTGACCTCCAGGTTCCCAAAGGAATCAAGGCTGGTGACGGACTCAAAGAGAGGCTCCCGGGTCACGTAGCCGAAATCTGGGCCCTGGGCAGAGGCACACCTGCCATTAGTCCCCTGTAGCCCCATGCAGCCACCCGCCAAAGCCCACCCCTTCACCACCAGCACCTGGTGCTGTGGGCCTGGTTGCCTGTGGTCCTGTCATTTCTACAGGGGCCTAGGCATGGGGAGGAGAGTTCTGAGCACGCCTATGGGGTGAGTGTGTGAATGCTTGTGAATGCGTGTGAGTGCATGTGTGAGTGGATCTCTGTGTGTGCTTTTTTTCCCAAACACAGATGCACAGAGGTGACTTGAGATCAGTTCTCATGTGTGCTCTTACTGTTCCCACTCAGCTCTCAATCTCTCTGACCCTCAGTTTCCCTGTCTGTAAAAGAGGTGTTGCATTAGGTAACCTGAGGCAGGGAAGTAGATTGTGTTATTCTTCTCAGGGATTTGGCTTCCTGGCTCACTGCCCTGTGACTTCTGCTTTCTCCCTGCCAAAGGAATAGCCTTCCCTGGCCAGCATCAGGGTCACATGACTTGGTTTGGCCAATGAAATGTGAGCAGAAGGGAGGTGTGCCAGTTCCCAGCAGAAGCCTAGGAGCCACTCTGTGTGTCTGCCTGCTTTGTCTTCATCTTCCTGTGCTAGGAGAATGGTGTTTCTCAGCCTAGGACTGCAGCTCTAGACTGAGACTCTAGAATGAGGAAGGCAGGAGAAAGCAGGTGTGTGGACAGCCAACCAGCTGTGGAGCAGAGGGGTCAGCCACTGAAATTTGGGGCTTGTTTGTCATTTCAGCCTCCCTAGTGACAGCTGACCGATACATGCAGGAATGGCAGATATGATATACTTATCATCCCAGCCCATACCCAACAACCACACTTGCCCACTGACCCTTGAATCTTTCTTAGCTTAGGGCTCCAACAAACTGGAGTTGGCACACAAAATATAACATCACCGATGTCCTAAATTTTAAGGTTTTTTTCATGGTTTTTTTTTTTTTTTTTGGTCAAAATATAAGGATCTTGCTTTGGGAGCTCACACTAGGGTTGGGACTATGATTGCATGACAAAAATCCCTGTTAGAAAAACCCCGGGAAGTGGGAGGATGCGGGTAGTCCTGGGCCAACTGAAAGGCTCCAGGACAGTGTGCTGGTACATGGATGGTTGCAGCTTAGCGCTTTCTCGCCTAGGGGCCCAGCTGGCCCTGCATGTGAGCTGGCCCAGGATGGCCAGAGGCTGGCAGCTGAGGCTTCACAGCATTGCCTGGGCAGCAGGCATGCAGCACAAAGCCAGGAACAATGTAGCCTGGGGCTCAGGAATGAAGCCAGCCTGGAACACTGAAAGGCAGGTGGTAACCCAGGGAGGAGAGAGAGCCGGTCCAAGCTGAGCTCTCATGCCTTCGGCAGCCCTGTGGGTGGTTCGGTGTGTCAGTGGAGTGGGTAGGAGGTTCATGGGACTGTGTCCAGAGCTATGCAGTGAGAACCATAGCACCAGCTACTAATGGTCACTGTATTGGCACCATACTGATGTCTTACACATGCCTCAAATCTTCACTATGAGCCTACGAGACCAATGCCATCTCTTTCCATTTTACAGATGAGCAAACTGAGGCTCATGGAGATTAGGTTGCTTATTTAAGGTCTCATTCCTACTAAGGGACTGCTGCTCAAGGCCACGTCCCTCTGACATTCTAGAGCTGGGCTCACACTGTCAGCTCCCCCAGCTCCTCAAGACGAGGGGACCAATTGAGTAAATGTTCTCAGAAAGCAGCCTCTCATGTCTAGCAGGAAGGGTGTCCTTCATGTGACCTTGGGAAGGCCCAGCCCACCCTAGTCTAGTATCACACTGTGCCCAGGCCTCCCGAGCCTGTTCAGGGTGGGGGGCGAGGACAGAAGGGACTGATTTTCTTTCTACTGTCACATGGTGACACTGAGGGCACAGAAGGGGGTGACAGTGGTCCCTGGAATCAGAGGAGACGGTGGCATTAAGTGAAACGCACATGTACTGAAAACCACAGTTTTAAGGCCCTGATGAACTTTAAAGTCAGAACCTGATTTTTGACAATTGCATAACTATGATTTTCCTCTTTGAAACTTATTTTGCTGCAAGTTGGAGGACCAGTCCTGTAGCAGGGGCCAGGCCTCTGGAAGTGGGTCTGGCCCTGTCTCCCACAGTTCCCATTTCCCACCTGGAAACTGTTTTGGGATCATCAGTTATCAAAGCAGAAAAGGATCTTAGGGGCCTCTATCCCAGCTCATCCATCGGCAGATGAGAAAACAGAGCCCCTGAGCAGCAGACCAGTTTATCAAGGGTGCTCCGGTCTCCTGACTGCTCCGTCCTGCTCCTGAGTCCCTTATGTCACCTCCCCGGCTCCCACCACTGGTCCTCTGCATCTCACCAGGAGCTGTTTTATGGGGAAGTCCTTGAGGTTCCCATCTCGGGGGGAGTCCAGCACCACAGGGAAGCCTTTGTGGGGGGCCTCGATGTAGCCAAACTCAACTTCATCCTGGGGGGACACCAAGGACAGCTGTGAGCCCAGGGCATTCCCTGTGAGCATCAGTCAGCTAGGAGGGAGGTGAGCTCTGGAAGGAGCGGGGACTTTGAGCCTCCTGGTCCCCAGGTCCTCATCTGCAAATGGGGGCAGCGCATCTTCCCACAGATTGTGTCTGCACACTACAAGCATGTTTTTCAGCAACACTAACCTCATTGCTTTTTTTCTGAGACAGGGTCTCCCTATGTAGTTCAGAGTGGCCTTGAACTCACTATGTAGCCCAGGCTGGCCTCGAACTCACAGCACTCCTTCTGCCTCAGCCTCCTGAGTGCTGGATTACAGGAGTGTGCTACTATGCCTGGCTTGACCTCTTTTTAAAAACATAAATGGTATCACCCTGAACATGTTTTCCTTCAAGTAACAACTTAAAGTGAAGCATATTTTGTACCAGCCTCATTCTTTTTTTTTTGGTACTAGGGATTAAACTCAGGTCCTTGCACTTGCAAGGCAGGTGGCAGAACCACTGAGCTAAATAGCCAGTCCCTAGCCTCATTCTTTTAAGCTGTTGCATAGAGCTCCATGGTGAGCTGTCACGCAGGTTGCTGAGGATGGATGCTTCATTGTTTTGCAGTCTTTAGCTATGACAAAAAGCCACACTGCAGTGACTTCCTTCCCCATCTCTGTGCACCGTGCAGGGACAAGCTGACAGAAGCCCTCTCCTGGGGCGGTTAGGGGTCAGGTATTCTGATAAGCCCACCCCTCTCACCTGACCCTGGCCATGTCCCCTGACCAGGCCCGTACCTGGATCCAGCGGTCTCCTCGGTTCATGTACTGGAAGCAGACCTTCAGCTCGCAGTTGGTTTTCTCCACTAGGTTCTTTACCTCCTTCAGGAACAGGTAGTTGTCCTTCATGCTGGCAAGGTGGGGAAGAGGAGGAGGCCAGAAGGAAGGGTGAGGGGGAACAGGGCCACCCTCAGGGGAGTGGGGATAGCAGCTGGCCTCTCTGAACTGAGCTGGGCAGCTGAGGCCGCCTTCATGTTCCATCTTATTTGTAAAGGCCACTGGAGTCAAGGACCAGCCACTTAGGCAATTTTGTCAAGGTCATGAGCAAACAAAACCAGGAAGGGAACATTTACCCTTATCTGCCCCAAAGCCTACATCTCTGACCTGCTGGATTTAAATACAGTGGGCCCTCGAGTTACAACCAGCCTGATGTAGGAACAACTTGGCTTGTGACCGGAATTTTGGTTTTAACATACTACAGAAGTCTTGAGTCATGACCTGAATGCCGGCCACTTGTGCTTCCAGATGGTCTCAGATACAGACTGAACCCTTAAAGAGTTCTGGAAGGAGCATTACAACATCCTTTCCTGTGTGGGGTTAACTGAGAAATCCTGGACCAATGTCTCTCTAAGGACACTGAGATCTGCCTGGATACAGGAGAGAGACTTTGAAGGCTGTGTAGAGGAGCCTGAGCCTTCAATTGACCAACTTGAGTTACAACCAGCCCTCAGGAACAAACTGAGTAAATCAAGGGTCCACTGTGTGAACTATGCCTGACCTGAAGGCCAGGGATGGGTCTGGGAACCTTCAGAGGTTCCTCCTGGGGCTGCCATTGTGGGCATTTCTTCAGTCACTTCTCATCTTGCTTTGGTTAAACTGGCACATAATAGGTACTCAATAAAATCTTGCTTAAGGAGTGAACGAGATGAGCTGACCAGCCATTGCTCAGGGGGTCCCCAGCTAAAGGCACAGGGCCGAGGGGGAACGGTTACTTCCAGAGCATACTCCCTGCCCCCAGCCAAATGGCTGGGTGAGCACTTTGTCTGCTTCATCTCATGTGAGTCTGTGATGTGAGTATCTCAGAGAAACTGATGCACAGAGAGGTCAAGTGAATAGTTCCAGGTCACAATAGTTCCAGCTGGTAAGTGACAGTGCCAGGAACCAAACTCAGGTCAGCCTGACCCAGAAGCCCAGCCCTTGCCTGCTCTGCCATGTTGCCTCTGGGCCACGCTCATCCCTTACCAGCACACAAACACTGACACGGGAGGCAGGATGTTGGGCGTCATGATCCACGGTGCAATTCGGAACGTCACGGTGTCTGTGAAGATGGGTGTCAGGGGAATCCCCTGGGTGTGGGGGAGAAGGGACACATGAAAAAGCTGCATGGGATGCCCTCCACACCTGCCTTCCCAAGTGGGGGAATTCATGAGAGTCATACACTGATCGAGCACATACTGATACCAGGCCCCACACCAAATACTTTTATGCAAGTTAATTCATTTCTGCCTTAAAATAGCCCCAGGGCCGGATGATACTATAATCTTCACTTCTTAGATGGGGAAACCAAGTCACACAGACCTAGTAAGTCACTGTCTAGGGTTACATGGTTAGCAAGAGGCAGAGTCAGGCTTTAAACCCAGGTGCTCCAGCTGCCGAGTCTGCCATCCTAACCATTGTCCCATCAGAGCTCCTGTCCTGAAATTAGTCCCAGCTGCAGGCATTTTGTCTTCTGTGTTACAGATGGGGAAACTGAGGCACAGTGAGATTAGTTCACTTGCCCAGGGTCTCACGATGGTGAAGCGGAGATTGAGCCTAGGTCAGTCTGAGCCCAGAGCCCACCCTTATACATCTCAGCTGGATTCAGCCTCACCCGGATAGAGCCCCAAAGTGATCTGGGGTGAAATGGGAGGGCCCTCTGTGTCTAGTGGAGTAGCCAGTCCCTCCCCTTTTCTGAGTGAAACAGGGTGGCCTTAAGAGGCTGGGGCCTGGCACCGATGTCCTAGCAATGAGTGGCTCTGGTTACAGGAAGCAGCCTCAGCAAGGGGCTCCCTGCTGGGCAGAGCAGAGCTGCTGAGCTGCTGGGCGCAGGGCAGGGGTCAGAGCTGGTGTGACCCACAGCCGGGGCAGGAAGAACAGGGTGCACAGGGGTGACACAGGGTGTCAACAGATCTCACAGTGTGGTCCAGTTAGAACCTCTCGCTGACCACTGGGACTCCGTGCCTCAGAACCAGGCACGTTACTGCACAGTGGGCAAGGCACAGGCTTGGGGGGCTCAGGAGTTCCTGGGAGCAGGTGTGGCAAGGAGGAGGGTTCTGGGGGACAACTCAGGACCATGGCTGACTCATGTAGGCCCCCAGGGGATAGCAGGGTCTCCTAGGCTGGACCCATTCAGTGCTTTGAGGGGAGCAGGGCACAGTGTGGCCTCCTGGAAGTAGCTCTCTGGGAGGAGTTGCACCCTGGTCCCCAGGCAGCCCCTGGTGGGGGAGGCCTGGGGTTCTCACCTCATCCATGTACTCTAGCAGGCTGACGTGGATGGAGACCAGGCCTGAGAAGCCCTCGTCGGGGAAGCGGAGGCCTTCCACAAAGAACAGAAGCTCCGCGGAGCCACCCATGTACTTGACCACATGGTAGAGCTTCTTCCGGCCCAGGATGTGGATGTAGCGCTCCCCGAAGAACGGATCTGGGGAGCAGATAGGGATCAATGTCAGTGCCCTGCCCCATCAGGAGGAGGTCAGGGAAGTCAGTGATGGGGACAGGGGCAGGATGACCTGTCCTCACGACATGGAGAGGAAAGCATAAGCAGAAAATGCCACAGGGATGTCTGCAACATGTCATTGTCATCATCTCAGCACTGCTGTGTGCCAGCTGGCTTCACCTACAAAATGAGCTGGCTATTGTGAATGGTACATGTGAAACGGCAGCAGATGGCAATTATGCAACTAGTGTACCACTGAAGGACATTATCACTCCCATTTCACAGCAGAAGAAACTGAGTCTCAGAAAGGAGAAATGGCTCATCCAAGGTCATACAACCAGGAAGTGGCTGAGCTGGGACTCAAGTTCATGTCTACTTCTGAATCCTGAGCTCCCAACCCCTTTGTATAAATAAACCATAAATAGACCCATTTGTACCAAAAATTCCCCTCTGTGTCATGAAAGCCGTGTTAGGGTAAAATCCGAAGAAGAGAAGAGGAAAGGCAGTTTCTCCAGTGCCCCCGTGCCTCTGCAATCTCCAGCATGTCACAGTGCTGTCCTGTTTGGAACAGTCTGGTCCCTCCTCCCTCCAGGTCTTAGTTTGTGTCACTATAAGAATCCTGCCCGGATCCCCTGGGAGCAAACCAGGGGCTGTTTGGAAGTTCTGCAGCCTTTCTAAATGCATGTGGCCAGTGTGAGGGCAGAGATAGCCCTGGTCAGGCCCAGCTGCCTGCCTGGCACATGGTCTTGTTGAATAAGTGTTTAGTGAATGAACCAATGGCTTCCAGCCCACTCCCTAGGGGAGAGGCCACTGGGGACTTTTCAGGCTGCTTGAGAGCACATGCATTTGAGTTATTGCTCTGTCACCATCAGGGCAAGGGCTCCTGGGAGACAGATAGTCAGTGTACAAGAGCTGTGCTCAGCTGGTGATGAGATGCAGTGGATATGGGGAGGCTTATGACAGAGATCTTGTTGGGTTATGTGGGGTGCAGCAGGGTGGGGAGGGGAGAGGAGCAGGGTGGCAGCATCTGAGAAGAGAGAGGAAGCCTTTGAGACGCCCTTGTGGGGCACCAGGGGTGGTGGCAGGGGTGGGGAAGGAGATACTTGCACTAGCCAAGGTGCAGAGGAAGGACCTTACACAGTTCCACAAGGGATTTCTTTATGCTCTGCAGAACTGGAAGGAAGAATCAGGCTCAGCTTAGTGCTTTTAACAACAATGATAATGGTTAGTGACCAGCTCCTTGACAGTTAGAATGGATAACCAGAACACTCCTGGCATGAACAAGGGGCTTGATCAAAAGCCGTGAAATGGGAGGCCCAGACCTGGGGGACTTCCCCAATCCTCAGTTTACCTATCTGGTAAATGAGGGATAATGATATCTATGCTACAGGGTCACTACAGGTGACACAGTATCTGCAACCTTGGTAACTTTGGTCAGTTAGGAACTGTGAATGATCTGCATGTCCCTTACTGCAACACCGATGGCCTTTTCATCCAGCAGCTTCTGAACAGAAGGTAAAGAAGCGATAGTTCACTGTACCTCCTCCAGGTGTGTCCAAGAAACAAGACCTATAGATTCACACCCTGAGTATCTCAAGAGATTTGCACAGTCCAACACAGAAGGCGAGGTCCTTCTTACCCATAAATGACAGTGTGTGCCCTTTGGCCCACTTTCTTCTTAGACCCAGATGGGCGTGTGCACAGGGACTAAGTTATTCTCCCTTGGCTCTCAGGCCTTCCACACCCATGGGCCGGCTGTACTTGAACCTGTGATCAGGCAGAGAGACGTGAGGCCTAGACTTTTTGTTGTTGTTTTTTTTTTTTTCAGAATTGGCAGAAGCGAAGCTCCCCTGAGGCTCGGGGCAGCTGGGGGCTCCACCAAGGTTGAATTGGAGGGGATGTGGCCAGAGGAGGTGGGTCAGGTGGAGACTGTGGTCTGTCATCTGCTGCAGCTGTCTCCCTGGCACAGGGCCTGTGCTCTGCGATTCACAATGTGTTTCTATCCTGACCTCTTTCGGGCAGTTTGGGCCAGCGCCAGGGGGATCAATTCCTTGCTGAGAACAATACAGCCATTGTCCAAGGAGCCTCTGTCCCTTGTTCCCTGTCCCCAGCTTGGAGCAGAGCTGGCCACCTCCGGCATGGCCAGCTTTGTCTATGACAAGAACAATATCCTCTGTGGAACTGTTCTTGTGCCTTGAGCTGGGCCTGAGGGCCACCTTGACCTCTTCTGAGCCCAGATGTTGGCCTCAGCTAGCCTCAGCTTGGCAGCGTGTGGTATGGTTGGCATCACTCTTCCAGTCATTCTGGAGCAATTCTACCTCCCAAGGAGACTGAGAGTGTGACAACTGTTGAAGTTTGCCTGGGATTGAGGTGTTTCCCAGCCTGAGGGACGTTCATTGCCAGGAAACCAGGGAAGTGCTGAGCAAATGGGGACAAATTGGTCACCATGGCCTTGTAGGAAGAGGTAAGGGCCTAGCTTTTGGAGCTCTGGGGAGAATCTGAGACTGGAGTAGGTCACTAGGCCCTCTACAGGGACTCAGGCACTAGAGACTTCTGTCCATCCCAATCACCACAACTAGTAATCACCATAACATGTCCCACAAAAGCAGGAGCCTCCTGTCTTTATGGGGTGTTCCACAGGCCCACACTGTCCTCCCTCCGTCTCTCTTGCCCTCCAGGACAGCGGAGGCTCCTGTTATCCCCACATTACATTGCAGGAGGAGGTCCCGGGGCTGGGGGTGGGGAGGCAGCCTCTTGGGGCCCCTCAAACCCGGCCCCCTTGTCCTTGGGTAGAGCCAGACCTTCTTCGCTGACGACCAAATGACATTTGTGTAATACACATTCTCATCGTCAGGTATATTTAGATTTTGACAAAATCCCCAAAATGCTTGCATGGAAGAAAAGGAAACTGGGCCACTGATGAATTATTTGTCTCCATTTTTGCCTGAGTACTCATCAGGGAGTCCACATTTGGTGGGGAAACTGACTAGTGAGGTGGTCACTATCTCAGCGGATGGCCCTCCCTGAAGATGTGTGGCCTCACTGACAAGTGTGGTGAACGTTCTCTAAGCCCCCGCACTGGGAGTTTCTCTTTTTTCTTGACCCTCAGGACCCATCTTGGGGACAGGTGAGGGGCAGGGTTGTGAATGTGGGCCCAAACTCAAGCCTACTCCATTAACACAGGTGGAAACCGCTTGAAAATGCCAGATGGTCTCTGTGAACGCCAAGGCTGGATCAAGGCTTGGCCAAACTCTGGCCTGTACCCCTCCTACCCCGTGGCAACTCTGGCCCAGAAGGGGTATAAACATCATCTCTGGCCCCCTGGGGCTGTGGAGCCAGCCTGACTCAGGGACATTCCAGCCTGCATGAGTTCACTGCCTAGGCCCCGGGGTGGATCAGAAGAAGGCTGGCATTGGGAGGTGCTGTTCACTGGTCCCCTGGCTAAGTCACTCCCTGAGGTGAGGGCACTCTGGTGACTACCTGGTTCTACCAGGCCAATCCACAAGTGGTCCTGGCCTCCCAACAGTTTCCCCCGGAAACCACAGGTATAGGGGGTAGGGCATGGCAAAGTGGGCTGGGGAAATAGGCGGGACCTGTCAATGACAAGATCCCAGGACAGTGCTAGATAATTCCCAGGACCCCATAGATGCCCGCTATTGTGACTCTTCATGATAGGGACTGGGATCACTGGAGTGCACTTTATTTTTGTTTTTACCCTTTACTCTCATTGTTCGGCCCAAGTTTGTTCTACAGAGCTAGTTCTTCCCTTACCCCTTCATCCCTCACTTTTCAAATAAACTTTTGGCACAGTTTTTGGCTTTTCTCATCCAATTCTTTGTTCAAGGCAAGAAGGACCTGGAATACGTTTAGTTGGTGAGCCATTTCTAAAAGAACTACCTGGTGACACCATGACAAACTGCAGAGCTGTTTAACTGAGAGAATTTCAAAATACATAAATCAGATTCTGAGAGTCCCTGGCTTAAAACCCTCTAATAGCTTTCCATTGTGCTTACAATAAAATCCAAACCCTGTTGCATGCTCTGGCCCTGGCCCTAGGCCCAGCTTACCGACCTTGACTCCCAGCACCTCCTGCTATGGTCTTTCTGCTTTTCCAAAACTCCAACAGGTCCCCTCCTCCTGCTTTGTGGGGACTGTCCCTTCTGCTCAGAACTCTGTTCCTTTAGCTTATGAATGGCTGGTTCCTTCTCACTGTTCCTTTAGTCTCAGCTCAGTCTATTCCGTTTCCCACAACATGCTATTCATTATGTTCCCATTGCTAAGCTGGCAACTCCTTGAGGACAGGGTGCAGTTGTCGCTTTTACGGTAGGGATCCCAGCTCCAAGACTAGTGCTGGCACTCAGAAGCTCAAAGTGTGTTTATAGAAAGAATGAGATAGTACAGGCGGCTTCAAGGGTGAGCCCCGGCATGGAGCACGTCCCCTACACAGTGGGGACCCAGCACACCCTTTCACCACTAGGAGGAAACAGGGCCATTCCTGGAGGGTAACAATAGCATCTTTTTTAAAAGTCAGAGATACCAGATATGCCTTGCAGGCAGTGCCCGCCTGGCCTCCAGTCTCATGAAGGTGCGGGGACTCTGGAAAAGGGGACTGTAATCACTAAGGGGTGGTGGCCTTTGAGGGCAGAACGGGGCTCACTCACTCTCCACGTAGAACACGCCCACTTTGTCCGAGTCTGACATGGAAATGTAGAGAACCATCTCGTATCCTGCAGGCAGGCGGTCGGGGCCCTTGGTGTGCAGGATCATCTGGGACATGTCCTTGAGGTCTGGGGACAGTGAATACGGGAAGGTTAGCAGGAAGGGACTGCTGCAGGGACCACTGCCTTTCACTTTTAAACCAGGAAAAGGATGAGGTCACACACGTGTATTATGGAAACCATAGGGAAGCATTAAAAGAAAAGCCAAGTGCAATGGTGCACACCTGTAATCCCAGTACTCTGGAGGCTGAGGCAGGAGGATTGCAAGTTTGAGCCCAGCCTGAGCAACTTAGCAAGACTCTGTCTCAAAATAAAAAATAAAAAATGGGCTGGGGATGTAGCTCAGTGTGAAGGCGTTGGGTTCAATTCCCAGTACTGAAAAAGAAAAAAAAAAAAAAAGAAAGGAGAAGGAAAGACTGGTTGTCACTTCCAATACTAGAGATAGACCCCTGCTAACCCTTTGAGAATTTCTTCCTGGTTCTTTTTCTACCTGTGTAAGTTTTTTTTTTTTTTTTAATGTGGTTCCAGTTGGGCTATATTTATAGTTTTGTCTTCTGCTTTGAGGTCAAGTGGATATTTGAGTCTGTTGACTCCAGGAGGCCCAAGTCCCCATCCACCTCACCCTGCCCAGGACAGGAGTGATGTTTCCCTTGCCCCTAATCCCCAGGGTGGCCCTGCAGGGACCTTGCTTGCTGTAGACCTTCTCGTCACTGCAGTCCTCCTTGGGCAGCCAGGGCGTGTCTTGGTCACAGTTCACCAGCAGGATGGCTCCCTGGCCCTCAGGACCCCAGGTCCAGGATGCCTGTAGTGGCAGGGAGAGAGGTCAGTGCCCTCTTCCTTCTCCCAGCAGACCCCGAGGGACACTGGAGAGACAGCCCAAGGCGCCGGTAGAGAGAAGCCGCCACACAGCTGTGACCCGGCAGGCATGAATCCCGAGAGAGGACCCATGCGAGCTTCTGAGTCAGGTTTGAGTGGGGTGGCAAGACAGGAAGGCCAGGTAGGGCAGGCGACCTCACCTCTGAGTGAAGGAGGAGGCGGGAAGGAGGCCAAGGCAGAGGAACAAATAGACGGACGTTCTGGGAGAGGTCCTAAGTCCCCTAGGATGGTGGTCACCAACATTTTTGGCACTGGGGACCAGTTTTATGGAAGACAACTTTCCATGGACTTGTCCAGTTTTCTTTTATAAATTATTAGTATGTTAGTGACACATAATAGTTACATTCCCCAGTATTACAAAATTACACCCCTCAGCTCCACCTCAGATCATCAGGTATTAGATTCTCATAAGGAATTCAGAAGCTAGATGCTCCTGTCCACAAGCAGTTCACAGTAGGGTTCGGGCTCCTAGGATAATCTAAGGCCTCTGCTGATCTAACAGGAGCCAGGGCTCCAGCCCTGATGCAAGAGCTCACTGCTGTGTGGCCTGCTGTGCAGCCAGGTTCCTACTGGTCCCTGGCCCAGGGTTTGGGAACCTCTTATGTTTTCTCCTATAGCCCAAACACCAGGAGAACTGACTCCAACTCATCTGATCATGTTGCTTCCTGCATAAACCCTGACTCTCAATTCCTCACTGCAGCCTGCAAGGCCCTGTGATACCTGCTGGCCCCTCCATCTGCCTCCATCTGGTCCCTAGTTCATGCTTCTCCATCCACACTGGTCACATTTTTGCTTGCAGTCACCCAGCTCCTGGGCCTTTGCCCACACTGGCCCCTCTGTCCAGACCACTGCCCTTCTTTTTCTTTGGCCAATTCTATCCTCTTCAAGTCTCAGCACAACTGAGCCTTCTCCCAGGAAGTCTTTTGGATCCCCAGACCATAGCAGTGTCCCTGGGTCCACACGTGACACCACACACAGGCTCTTGGGGAGCACTTAGGATGACTATGTCAACACAGCCACCCATGTCATTCTCCCTCCAACATGGGTCTCCCCCTGGACTGTGTGTTCAAGGGCAGGTTTCTCCTGTTCTTTGTGCAGTCCCTGGGCCTGATCTATTCCTGGGATATCAAAGATGCTCAATGAATATTTATGGGATTAGAAAAGAAAATGTGAACACCTCACAGGTCCAGGTATAGAGATTGCCAGTTCAGGTTCATAGGGGTTGGGTGACTTGAGCAGGATTGCTCAGCCCCTTGGAGAGGTCGAAAGCCTTCTTCCTGGGGTTGCTGGGCCTCAGAGGCTCTGCGGTGCCTGCTGCCATGTGGCTGGGGCACAGAGATTGAGTGTGTAGGAGCCCAGCTATGGGGCCTGGAAGAAGGGGCTCCTCATGAGGCCTGAGGCCACTGACTGACCTGCACAGAGTCAGCTTCTTGCCGGGCTATATTCATTTTGTTTGTGTGTGTGTGTGTGTGTGTGTGTGTGGTGCCAGAGATGGAACTCTGGGCCTTATATATGCTAGGCAAGTGCTCTACTACTGAGCTGTATGCCAGACCTTACTTCATTTTTTTTTTTGGTACTAGGGATTGAACTTGGGACGTTGTGCTTGCCAGGCAGGCACTGGAACCCCTGAGCTAAATCCCTGGCCTAACCTTACTTCATTTTAAAAAATACTTATCTAGCTTGGAGTGTAGCTTAGTAGGAGAGTGCCTGCCTAGCATGCAGAAAGCCCTGGTTTTCATCCTCAACACTGAAAAACAAAAAAACATTCAAGTCTTCATCATTAACCTAGGCTTCAGATTGTTTGTATAAAAATCACATATGCCTATTACAAAATATAAATGATACAAAAGGGCCAAAAACTAAAAATTATTAAGAGCAGCAGTCTGGATATATACATAGAAAAACCAATGGTGCTCAAAGACTGGGTTGGGGGAAAAGTACAAAACTGAATGAGATGGGAAGCACCATGCTAGCTGCACGGATTAAAAACATACACCTGAAGGGGCCAGGGATTTAGCTCAGTGGTTCTGCTGCTTGCCTCGAAAGCGCAAAGACCCAAGTTCAATCCCCAGTACCAAAAACACAAACCAAACCAAAACAAAACAAAACACCTATACACCAGTCATGCTGCAAGTTCCCCAAGGACCATAAGAACTGAAAGAGACACGCTGACCCGTTAAATGTTCCTTTGTGGGGGAGCAGGATGGGAGTGGGGAATGCAAGATGAAAAAGAGTAAGTAGAGGAGAGAGGAAATGAATGAATGAATGAATGAACAACTAGCAACAGGAGCAGGACTGCAGGCTGAGACAGTGTGACTAAGGCAACTCTCTGTCCCTTTGATTTAAAACTAAAAAAGGGCAAACATTTAAGAACAAATGCTTGTGTAGCATGACCTCTGTTGCAGACACATTTACTCTTTTCAACAGCTCAACCAGTGGGGTTGTGGATGGGAAAGCAGACTCTGGTTTCTGCTCTGCAGCTGGCCCCATAAGCAGCCAGGGCTCCTGGTGTGCTGTGGGTATGGGAGCTTGTCTTGGGCCTTGGTCTTTGGCCCTGTGATATGGAGCTGTCAGCTTGATAGGGGCCCATGGCTGCTGCAGGTGCTGGCTGAGGCTCTGTCCCTTGGAAGCTCCTCTCTTCCCCTCCCCGCAGGTGGCATCCAACCCAACAGCTTGTACCTTCTTTGGGTTGTTCTTCTCTACCACGCCGTCCCGGTCTGCATCCACATCCAGGGAGATCTCTGGGGACAAGAGATACGGGTGAGTGGCTGACCCTACCAGACAGGGTGCAGAACATAGGGGAGACCCATGGGACACAGGGATGCAGCTCACCCATCATTCAGCTGCTGGAAAGGGAGTGCCTTGCCAAGGTTGCCTTCTCCAGCTCCCTGCCTAACCTAGCACCTCCTACCCCCTTCCCCAGGGACCTCAGTGGGCACTGTGTACCTGGCAGCTCCCACCTTCTGAGGTACTATCCAGTAGTTAGGATTGCCCGAATCCTGGGTGGGAGTGAAGGCTAATCCTCACATCTGGGAGCTTCAACTGGGAGATGTGAAGTCACATGCCAAAGGTCACACAGGTGGATTTAGCAGCACTGGGTACACACTACAATTGTCTATTTTGCTTATATTTTGAAAATGTACCAGCTAGGCATGGTGGTGCATGCCTGTAATCCCAGCACTGGGGAGGCAGAGGCAGGAGGATCGCTGTGAGTTTGAGGCCAGCCTGGGCTACATAGTGAGTTCAAGATCAGCCTGAACTACATAGCAAGACCCTGCCTCAAAAAAAAGTACCCGCACAGGATTCTTCCAGTCTAAGCCAGGTGTGTGCCTGTGTGTGGATGTGCAAGCCTATGTGTGTGTGTGTGTGTGTCTGTGTGTGCACATGTGTGTCCTTTTCTCTTTCTCTCCCCAAACTCCTAGTAGTCCTGCCTCAGCTCCAAGAACTGAGGATTTTCCTCTGGGTGGAAAACAGGATCTCCAGCCCCTCTGGATATGAGGGCAACGTCCTTGCCTCAGATAGATGAATCAGGGCAATGTCCCTGCTTATACCTTTTCCCAGGGAAGGGACTGTGAACATTCCTGGACCTATCATGGAGATAGGCTTCAAGGAGAGTGTGGGGGCAGTGAAAAGACTTAGCCTCAGACAATATGGGGTTGGACCCCTGGTTTTCTGCTTATGAGCTGAGTGACTTTGGGCAGGTTAGACAACCTCTCTGAGCCCCAGTTTCCTCACTTATAACATAGGAACCTTTCCAGTTACAGCAGTTGCACAAATGGCAGTCGCAGGGCCTACCTATATTTTGAACCAGGCAATTTTTGGTTGTGGGGACTGTCCTGTGAGTGATGGGATGTTTAGCAGCATCCTGGCCTTTACCCATGAGATGCCATAACACCTCCCAGTTGTGGCAACCAAACATGCCTCCAGATAATGTCAAATGGCCTCAGGAGACCACGTTGCTGTGTGTTTGGGTGAGGCACTGGGGGTGGCACCGGATGAGATGTGCTGGTCCCAGGCCCTGGAGCTGCCCACAAGGCCCTGGTTCACCCAAACATGACTTGGAGCATGGTAGGAGCAGGTGGGAATGAACACACCCTGGTCTGTTCCCTCAGAAGGTGTCCCTCTGCCTGGATGGGCTGGGAGGAGGGTCCCACACAGGAGGGGTCCTGATGTCACCCTTCTCGTGCAGCTCAGCCCCCTCCCAGTCCAGGGATCTCATTCAAGTCCTCCCTTTGGCCATAGTTGGATTCCTTCCTGGCCCTGACTGGCTTTTCTGGGTGTAGGAGGTGGCAGAGGGTGGGCTATGAGGTCCTTGGAAGTGGCGCCTGCAGTGTCCAATTGTCCCACCCCTTCCTCGGATGGAGGTCACTCAGCCCATCACCTGGGAGCGTGTGCTGTGGCCAGCACTGGGGGAGGCACTGGAGCCTGCAGCCCTGGGAGGTAAAGGTCATCTAGCCTGTTTCAAAGGTGAGCAGGCCTGGCTGTGGGGAGTCACCTGCCAGCAAACTGGGCTGACAAGCTGGGAGGCTGGAGCAGGGCAAGGATGCCAGGGGACAGAAGGGAAGGCAGTGTCACCAGCTGCTGTTGACCTCAGTGACCTCTCAGCAGATCCCAGCCCACTCCCATGTGCATGGCTCCCCCTACCCCCAACTGCAGGGCACTGTCTTGTGCATGCTCCTTTCTGTAGCTCCAGGGGAGGAGTTATCACCTCCCCTCTGTGCAGATGAGGAAACTGAGGTGCTCAGCAGGAAAGAAGTGACCCCCAAAGTCAGAGCCAGGCTTCCCACTCGGGCCTCCAGGTTGCTGTTCTTTCCATGCCTCCATGGGCCCAGGCTGAGCTCTGGCTGACCCAGGCCGAGCCCCCGCCTGCCTTCAACACCCACAATTGCTTCCGTGAAGGTCACCACCAGAGATGGCCACATCCACCCTGGTAGCCCTGTGGCTTTTGTCCCCAGACTGCAAGGTGACACTGAAGCTCTTGTGGTGTGTCCATGACAGCAGTGGCCACCAGAGAGGAATGGTGAAGTACTTTAAACTGCTTTACTGCGGGAGTTTCTTACCATGAAAAGTTTTATCTGGGGAATATTTGAACACAGTGAAAAAAAGTCAAATCAAATACCAAACCGTTCCTAAAGGAAAGCAGCTGTTCCCCATCTCACTTGTCTTCTCCCCTCCCTAATGCTAAATAATATGCTTCTTGCTCTTTCCTGGTTTAATAAATTCAGATGCAGGGCTCACTGCCTTCCTGTTATGAAATTTGAGCATTTCAAAACCGGGCCTGTCATCACCTCTGCCCAGCCTCCACAGCCATTCTGTTTCTCTCTCCAGTCCCATGACCTGTCCCAAGTCAACTGAAATGCCCTCCTGTGCCCTCCACCCTCACCCAGAGCCCCCCGCAAGGCTTCCTTGTGTCTGCTAGGATTCCACTGGGGTGATGCATGGAGGGACAGCGGGCAGGGCTGTCACGGCTCGCCCAGGGCCTGTACTCCTGGGAGGGCTCTGCCATCCCGGGGGAGGAGGGAGAGGACACCTGTTTCAGGGCCTCTGGGTCCCAGACATTTCCCAGAGGCCCTAGATCCTACCTCAGCTCCCTGGAATAGCTCCAAAGTGTTGGGTGGCACCAGGGTGGGGAGGCAAAGGCAAAATGTCACTAGGATTGGGTTCAAGGCAGTCTGCGCTGAGAATCAAGACCCTGAGGGCTCAGCAGGCTGCCAGCCCATGGACAGTGGCAGGCTGCTGGTCTGCCTGCCCTGGTGAGCTGCTTGGGATGTGGTGAGGAGGAAGGGGCACCCCAAACCCAGACAGTCATGTGGGCTCTGGGAGGGGCGTGTGGATGAGTTCCCCAGGCAGCGCTAAAGTTCCTGAGGCCCGTGTGTGTGTGTGTGTGTGTGTGTGTGTGTGCGCGCGCGCGCACTGATCCACTGCCTGAGCCAGCCAGGTGAGGAGGTCCATTCCTCCCACCCCCACTTCTCTGCCATTGTCCCCAGAATAAGAAGCTCTACAGATCAGCCCTACTCGGAGTCTTCATTGTTCCCAGAGATTGATTTATTCAAACCCCTCATTCTAGAGCTAGGAGAAAGTGAGGCCTGGAGCAGGTAGGCTACTTTCAAGGTCACACAGCAAGTGCCTGTAGGACTGGGACCAAGAGGGGACTTAATTTGTGGCCAAAGGTGCCATAGGTTTGTTCCCAAATCCCCAGAAGTAGGCTGCGGAATAGCAAGTTTCTTCCTCTTCACCTGAGCAGAGTAAATGGGCTCCCCAGAGAGGAAGGAGAAGAGAGCATTCCCTCAGCATCTGTTCTGGGCCCCCCGCCACAGGATCTCTGCACACATCACCCAACTGAATCCTCAGAAGCACAGTGCCAGAATGCCCTGTGAGTCCCGGATGAGGAAACAGGCACAGGAGGCTGATGTAACTTGTCCAAGGTCACAATGTGGCGGAGGGGGAAGGGTCAGGATTTATTTCTGTCTACCTGAAGCCAGGGGTTTTTCTGCTCAGTGTGGGCAGACCAGACTCTGCCGAGAAGGATTCAGATAAGAATCCTTTGCAGAGGGCCAGGGATTTAGCTCAGTGGTTCCACTGCCTGCCTCCCAAGCACAAGGACCGAAGTTCGATCCCCAGTACCAAAAAACAAAGAAAAGAAAATACAAACTCTTTGGGCCGGGGATTTAGCTCAGTGGTTTTGCCGCCTGCTGCGCAAGCGCAAGGACTTGAGTTCGATCCCTGGTACCGAAAAAAAAAAAAAAAAGAATCCTTTGCAGAATTGGTCCCACCTTCTGGGAACATTTAGAATATCCCTGCCAGCCAGGATGTGGGGCTCAAGGGAAGCCCAGGGGAACAAAAGATTTGGGGTGTGGGGCGGGGCAGATAGACCAGTGGTTCCCAGGGGTCACCTGATATGCCTCGGGATCCCTGGCAGCACAGGAAGCATAGATTCAGTAGGGTGAGTGCTATTTTCTGAATGTAAAAGTGTCTGTTACCCCGAGAGGCTGTCCTGCCTACTTCATAAGAGTTGAGATTATGGTGATAGTTGATGACAAATTGTTTTAAAGTCATTTTTTTTGCCATGCATCAAAATTCCCCCCCCCCCCCCGCTTTGGGGCAGCTGAGGGGGACATTTTTTGTTTTTTTTTTTTGGTAAGGGGAACATTTTATTGGCCCATAGAAGCTAAATATCTGCAATCTGTGGCAGTTAAACAAATAAATGCTTAGTGACAGCAACTCAGAACTTTGTGAACAAAGGTGGTCCTTTGTCTCAGGCACATGTGGCACTTTTGGAACTGAGCACTGTGGCACCCTGAGCAGCATCCCCTGCACATTGCCTCCTGGTCTAATGCATGGAATGCCCCGCCCCACCCCACCCCTCCTGGACTCCTTGTGCCTTCTCTCCTATGCCCACCTTGCTTTGGGGATGTCTTCCTGGTACAACTTCACTTGATGGCCTCTGGCCCCTGCCCTTTCTTCCCTCGTCCTCAGGTGTCCCTGTCTGTGGGAGTGGGTTTCCTCGGATGGTCATTTGAAACAGCAGGAGGCTATGTGTGCATGTGAGGTTCACTCACGTGCTAGGGTTCAGCACAATAGGGAGGATCTAGTTATCATTTCCCAAGGCCCTCTTCGGTCAACCCAGGGCCCCCCACTACAGACTGGGCACCCCTTTGCAGAAAGAGGGACGAGTTGACCAGCAACCAAGCCCACTTGAAAGGAGCTGAGAAGCAGAGAAGCACTGCTGTTCAGGGCATGGGGAAGGTGGGAGGGGAGCTGGCCTAGGGACCTTTTGAGAGCCCAGAAGGTGAGATGGAGCCAAACGACTCCAGTTGCCACCAGCTGCCTTCTAGGTGTGTAGCCTCAGGCAGCTTTTTGTGTGCTTGCTTTGTTTTTCTGAGCCTTGGTTTTCTCATCTGTGAAATGGGACAATAATGGCCTTTATCCTTGGAATCCTTGTGAGAAGAGATTAAAACCACAACTGTAAGATGTGTAGCATTGGAGTGTGGCACACTGAAGGTGCTCAGTAAATGCTCACTGTTTATCATTCTCCTCCGGCACACAGCACCACCCTAGACACAGCTGGGAGACAGCGTTGGCATTTCTGAGAAGCCCTCAGCACTCAGTCCTGCTCAGTATTCTGTCCCCTGCCATGTGGCAACTCTGTCTGTGTTAAACCAGGGCTGGACAGACAAAGCGACTCTGAAGTGCCCTCTGGCTTAAATACTCTGATTGGAACAGAAAAAGGAAATAACTCCTCAATTGCAGTAGGGTTAAGCGATTGGAAACTCTGAAGGTCATATCCTGACTCCCTGGTATGCAGGCCTGGCACCCAGGACAGGGCAATGGGGTGCGGTGAAAGGACCCAGTATCATCCTGAGTGCTGGACTCAGCCTGCCAATGGGTTTCTGTGTGACTTCAAATGTGTTTTCTAACCTCTCTGGGCCTCACCATCCTTGTGGGTCAAATGAAGGGCTTGGACTAGGTGAGCTACAGACCAGACCTGCATCTCTGTGTACTCAGGAATGGGCTGGATGCAGGGGGTGGGGTGGGGAGAGCTGGGACATCTAGGACCAGACTGCAGGGGAGAGGCAGGGAGGGACAGGCTTTCCTGTTTCTCCATGGCCTGCAGAGCCAGTGATGGGGACCCAACACAGAGTGAGTCCTCTGCAGACAGAAGGGCCAGAGGCTTGTGTGGTCCCTGCATGGCCTGCACTACTAAGAGCAGCCTCCAGGTGCCAGGTCTGCAGCACTGAACAGAGCCCAATGCCACCAAGCAGGGAGACAGTGCCAGCCCCAGGGGGTGAAGGTGGCTGGGGCACAGCGGCACTAACTCACCAATGGCCGTGAGGAAGAGTCCAGCCTGGTCAATGGGTGCACTGCCCTCCTCCTCATAGTAGTTGACGGTGACCTTGGGGGGTGTGGGGATAGAGAGGGACAGAGATCAGAGACCCCAGCAGGAGAGCCCAGGTAACCGCCCCACCCTCTCCAGACACCCAGACCCTCCCCTCCGGGAAGTTCTCTTGGGTTGTCTCCTGTGGCTGCTTCTTCCAGAGGACTGAGCAGAGAGGTAGACTCCCTGCCTCTAGGAGCGCAGCCAGTGTGCAGTGTGCCCCTGTGCCCCCAAGCACTCTCCGCTGCCTTTAAGGGGCTCCATATCCGGCTAAGCCCTACATCTGCCTCATAGGCTAAGCTCTCAGGGCACAGGACTCAGGCTGGCAAGGGGCAGGGAGCAGACAGTGCTGGTCCTGGCTTCTCCACGTGGGCAAATCACTTCACCCCGAGTGCTCCACACCTCCTTTTGCAGACAGTGAGACCCAGGGTCCTGAGGCTGAAACCCCCCAAGAATTCTATGGCTCTGAGCGTCCACACTTCCCCTTCCCATATCTTGGCCATCCACACTGTGACCCCTAGGAAGCCATCATTTCCAGTGCAGCACAGCAGCCGATAGCCCGGGGCCACTGAGCTCCTGAAATGTGGCTGATCCACACTGGGACGTGCTGTAGGAGCGAATTTAGTTTAAGTACAATAAAGGATATAAACTATCTTGTTATTATTTAAATTTTTTTTTTTTTTTGGTACTGGGGATTGAACGCAGGTCCTTGCGCTTGTGCAGCAGGTGGCGAAACCACTGAGCTAAATCCCGGGCTATTATTTTAAAATTTAAAACAGGTCAAAATGATAACTTGATGCATGGGTTTAAGTAGAATATATTAGGAAAATTAATTTTGCCTCTTTTTTGGGGGTATGTGGTATTGAGGGTTGAACCCAGGACCTTTTTACTGTATTATACTCCGGCCCTTTTTATTTTTTATTTTGAGATAGGGTCTCAATAAGTGATCAAGTTGCCCAGGCTGGGGTCAAAGTTGTGATCCTCCTGCTTCAGCCTCCTAGTTTTGGGGTTACAGGTATGCCACCTTGCCTAGCCATTTTCTCCTCTTTCTTTTTTGGCGTGGCTACTAGAAATTGGAAAAACACATGCAGCTGTCATTTTGGGTCAGGACTGCTCTACTCTGCCCCTACCCCAGTGTGGCCCTGGGATCCCGAAGTCCAGGAGCAGGACTTCCCTGCTCTGATACCTTGTCGCTGTTGGCCTCGGTGCTAGCCTGGCTCATGGTGAGCCGCAGTGTGGTGCTGGGTGAGAGAGCCCAGCGCTGTTTGCCGTTGGTGGCCACCTCCTCGGCCTCCCCGTCATGTACCACCTCTACCCAGACATGCTCTGAATGCTTCAGGCTGAAGATTCTGGCCCCGGCTGGGGCCGCGCTGTAGGGAGAGAGGACAGAGGGTCGGGGGAGTCCTGAGATAGGTGGGACGAGGGGCTTCAGGAGGAGACTCCAGAGGAGCAAGAGGGACAAGGCTCCAGGGCCTCCTGGATCATCTGGTCTTGGGTTCAATGGACTCAGCTTGGCAGTCACCTGGTAGTAGAGGACACTTGCTAAGTGACAGATTTCTGGGCCAGGATTCACCTACTGAGTCATAGTTTTTGAGCATAGGGCCTGGAGACCTGAATTCTTCACTGTTTTTGTGGAATCCAGGGCCACATGCTTGCTAGGCAAGTGCTTTACTACTGAGCTATACTCCAGTCCCATTAAGACCTGAATTCTTAATGAAGATCACACTTCTGATCATGTATGGCTTCTTTGGCCCACTTCAGGAATGTGAGGTACTGCAGGGTTGGATGACTGAGAACCAGACAGAGGGATAAATTTGCAACAGCAACAGACAGAACCTTGACTCCCTGTGACTGAGTGTCGCCGAGCAAAGGGCTGAGTTCTCACAGCGATGGAGGCTGGAACTCTGGGCCTTACAGGCAGGGTGGTGTCTCTGTCACAAGATCCCCTCTACCTGCCATGTTGTTTTTGGCCTGAAATCTGCATTCCTTGGGGCTCAAGATAGGTTTCCACTGATGGAGAAATACTCTGGGAATTCTGAAAAGCACGAGACTTTAGGGTGGGAGAATTTAGGGGTTCCACGTGGCTGCTGTGGGCTGAGTATCTGTGACCCCCAAATCCATCTGTTGTGGCCTTAGCCCCAGTGTGGTGGTCTTGGGGGATGGGGCTTTCAGGGTACTCAGGTTGCAGGAAGTCACTGGGCAGGGTTCTAGCCCAATAGGACTGGTGACCTTGTCAGGAGAGAGCTCCCTGCCCCCCATGCACACCGGGGAAAGGCCCTGGTGACAAGGGGCCACCTATGAGCAAGGAAGGTGGCCCTCTTCAGTATGTGCTTCCAGTCTCCAGAACTGTGAGGAAATGAACAGCCTGTGGTGTTTAATTATGGCCGCCTGAGCTGACTAGATGCTGGCTTAAGAGGAGGTGACAGGGAGACTGGGGCGGGGGGACAGGGGATGACAGTTTTGCTGAATTTAGTGTCGGTTTGAGGGCTCCTAAAGGTCACTGAGGGCTCAGAGGCATCCAGGTGGGATTCTTGTGGGATTTGTGACTCAGACACTGGCCCTGGAGTGGATCTGCCATTCTGGCTTTCAGAATCTGGACTCTGATGGGCTTCAGAACATCAGGGGAGCTGTTTGAACCTTCAGGGAGTGTTCTGAAGGCTGCAGACATGTGGATCCCATTCCTGGGAGTCTGCCTGGTGCGGCTGAGCTGAGGCAGGGCCCACTGGTCATGTGACCAGGACAGGCTGTGTCTGGATTTTGAGTTTAGCTATGGTGGGGCTGGGGTGAGCCCAAGAATCTGCCTTCTCTCCTGTTTCCAGGAACTGTTTGTGCTGCTGGTGGAAGGGCCACACTTAGAGAGCCCCTGGTCTGGGTGTTCAGCAGTGTGGTCCAGGGGTTAGAGCCCTGGGTGGCCAAGGCTATAGGTGTCAGGCTGTCAAGGCTGCTGGGGAGAATCTCTCTGACCCTGGCCACGGACTGGGGCTGAGGATGTAGCTCAGAGGTAGAGCACTTGCCCAGCATGACAAGGCCCTTGGTTCCATCCCTAGCACCACAAGGGAAAAATAATGACACACAAAAAGCAGGCCACTTCAGGGGTCACTGGCTGAGAGCCTGGTTTTGGGCACTGGAAGGGACAATAAGCAGGGCCCAGCAGTCCATTCCTGGTGTTGGCAGAGGAGCTCCAAACAGAAGCTCCAAGCCATTCTGTTCTTGTCACCCTGCTCACTTCCAAAGTCCTCAGCCCCTCAGAGGACACTGAGCTGAGCCATGGCCAACTGCCCCAATCATATTGTTATTAGGAGAGGCAAATTCAGGCAGAGCCCTGGGTCTCAGCTCCAGGGGTGGAAGATCTGGGTCTGAGCCCAGTTTTGCCGTGTCTTGGCTGAGGCATCTTGAGTCTGGGGTTGGAGGCCTCTCTGCTGGACCCCTGCCCCCCGTAACAGAGCCACTGTTGCTGCACAGACTGAGCGTCTGCACATGGTTCTGTTGGTGCTTTACAAACTCACACAAGGGGATGATCCCTCAGGACCCTGACTTGGTTCCTGTGCCGAAGCTTCCTGCCTGCCTTAAGCCACCTGGGCCAGTGAGAAACCCAAGCAGGCCCCAGAGGGCCGAGAGGGTTAGCACCCAGCCACATCAGAGCTGAAGGGTCCCACGCCTTCCTCCAACCTAGCGCCAGCCCTACTCTGAGCTGAGCCAAGCAAACAGCTATTCTTGGAGCAGCAGCCCTGGCAGAAGCAACAAAGGTGCCATTGTCTCCCACGGATCCTGTTGGCTGCCTCCCTCCCCAGGAAGCTCCTCTCAGACGCCCCTGCAGTAACCCTAGAGTTGCTGTGGCCCCTGGGGGCTGGGGTGGTCCCAGAGCAGTAGGGAAGGAAGGAGCGGGGCTGGAGAGAGGTAGATAGAAGGACAGACTGCAGTCCCCACACAACATCTACACTGTGGCCCAGCCCTGGGGCTTGGTTGTGCTCAGTGCGTGCTTTGGAAATAAATAAATGAGTGAAGCCCTCCCTCTTGGCTTCCAAGTTGTATTACCAGAGTGATTTTTAAAAAGATAAGATTAGGTCAGAAATCATTCTTCAGCCTGGCACTCACCTGGTGGCATTTGGCCTGACTGCCTCGCCTTGTTTTCTGACATTCCTGCCACTGCCTAACGTCTCTGCATTGTTCCATTTTGCATCTGCTGTCCTTGCATCTGCCTTCACTGCCTTCCCTGTGAATGTCCACTTCTCCCTGAAGACCCAACTCAATGGGTTTGTGCCCATGTTTATTTTCCCCTCTGGCAGTTGGCTCCTTGAAAGTAGGGCACAGCACCTTCCTTATTTTGTTTTAGTATCTGACCCAGCACAGGCACACAGCAAGTGTAAGTGTCGGCGGGAGGAAGGACTAGAAGAGGAGGGCTTGCTTACACATTCATTCATTCATTCATTCATTCATTCAGCATGCTTAAAAACGTTGCCAGGCAATGTTCTATATTTCAGGGGTAGATGGGAGAAAAAAATAGCATATTCCCTGGCCTGCAGAGTTTATACTCTAGTCAAAGAGAAAGACTCTCAGTAAATTACACAATGATTTGTGTGATTATGGCTGAAGGAGACAGTCTTTTAGAAAGTACCATCTGAGCTGGGGTCTAAACCTTAAAGAATTAATTAAGGGGGATGAGCGAGTGGGGTGTAAGGGAGGGTAATGGAGGGATGAATATGATTAAGATATATACAGGTATGAAAGTGCTGCAAGGGAACCTAATATTTCATAAAATTAATACGCACTAATAAAGATGTGTCTATTGAAAAGAATCAATTAAACCAGAAGACCTTGCCTTTAGCTATACATACAAGCCTGTTAAAAGACAGGTCGCTGGGTCCAGGCCCATATTTCTGACTCAAGTCTGGGTGGAGCCTGTGAAACCACATTTCTAACAAACAGATGCTGCTGATGCTGTGGGTCCCAGACCACAGTTTGAGAACTGATGAACTGGATGGGGGGAGGAAGTTTACAAACAATGGGGCAGCCTGGGTGATGGCCAAGGTGGGTGCAGCCTGGCATTCTGGCTCATTTGTACGCAAGGGGCAGGGGCATGGAGGGAGGAGAGGCAGCAGAGATCTCCTGGGAGCCAGGAAGTCCCTGCAGGCTGCTGAGCAAGGCAGGTGTGGTCATCCATGCTGCAGACGCCTCGCCCAGAGTGCACATGGGCAGGGTCTTCGGAAGAGCAGTAGTAGGAATAGGGCAGTGGTGCAAACCTATGGGACACGTGCCATAGTAGCTGTTTGTTACCACTGAACGAAGGTTCTAAAAGGTTCCCCATCACTGGAACAGAGGGACCAGTGAGAAGTGACTGCAGGAGGCCAGGTGTGTGGTGGTGGTGGTAGCTGGGGACCAGATGGTGGCCATGGAAACAGAAGTGGCCAGGAGGCCAGTGTCAAGCCGAGGACACCTGCTGAGCCCCTCCAATGTCGGTACCCTCTGGAGAGCTGCCATCCCCTCTGGTCTTCACTCCGTCAGTATGGAAGGTTGCTGGCTTGACCTTGCAAGGCTGGGAGGCCCTGCACACCTGCTTCCAGCTGGCACGGGCTCTCTCAGCTGTCCCACCTGGCCGGACCTTGTTAACACTAGCGGGGCTCATCCTCAGGGTGAGCCGGCTCCTGGCAGCCTGGAAGTGACAGCCTGGCTTCGGGGCTTTGGAGGAGTTGGCAGGGGGAGTTGAGGGTGCCAGCCTGGCATGCCACCCATGGCGAGCACCCTGGAGGACAGTGGAGGGAAGGAGGTGGGGCCCGGACTGGGAGGATCATGGTCCAGGCCTCATACCTGGCGCTCAGTACAGTGGTGGCTGGAGCCCCGAGTGTGGGGAGCCTGGGGAGGGGTTGGAGAGGCACACCCTGTATCTGCCTGCTACAGCCTCCTTCTGCACTGGTAGCCAAGGCAGCCTCTCACCAGGCCCTGGCGTTCCAGCTACCTAAGCCTCACTTAAGGAACAAAGCAATCTAGTTTATGGTTATTCCCTTCCTCAGGTTCCTTCAACAACTCCCTACTACCTGCAGAAGGAAGTCCAGCACCATAACTGAGTCTTCAAAGCCTTGGCTGAGCTCTGCGACCTCGCGCCTTCCTTTCCAGGCCACTAAAACATCGCTCTTTCCTCCTCCGTGTGGCCCAGCTTTCTTGACACCTATGTCCTCTTGGCCAGGGGCAGGTCCTCGGTCTCACTCTGAACCCCTGGCCCTCTTTCGAGACCCAGCTCAGTGGTCACCTCTGCAGGAAGTCTTCCTGATCCCACCAGCCAGAATGCAGCCCTCCCTCCCTCTGCTGCTGCCTCAAATAGCACTTAACAAATGACCTAAGAATCCTTTGTATGAGTGTTACATGCTCGTCATATTTGTTGAATAATGTAATTCTCAAACTATATTTATTATTTACTATGTGGGAGGGTCACCAAACCCATGTTGATGACCCCCTGTGATAGGTGAGCACACTGAGGCCCACAGAAGGCCAGTGCTTGCTCCGAGTCTCAGGGACAGTGTGAGATGGACTTGAGCTCCCCGAGGTGCAGGTCTGGCTACTCCTTCCCTGGGGAGAAGCCATAGGTAAGAGTCTTCCCTGTGGTCGTCCAGGAAGGGGCTCCGGGCTCAGGAGAGCAGCAAATGAGAGGCCTCTGCTCGTCTCACAGGTGGGAATCACAGCCCAGAGTGTCCCCTGGGTGGGTGTCCCCGTCCCTTGGGTGAGTGACCCAGGTCAGCGGGGTGGGCAGTCTGGCACACCCTGGCGCACCCCTGAGGTGCGGGGTCTGGCACCTGGGCAGGAGCATGGCTTCCCCTGATGATCAGAAGGTGCACAGGCTGGCAGGGCAGGCAGAGGGTGAGCCCCTGCCACTGTGTCCCCACCGACTCGGATCCTGGCTATGGTAGGGAGTGTGGGGTTGGCACGCAGGGTGCCAGGTCCTCTGCAGCTGAAACCAGAGCCCAAGCAGCTCTTGGCAGGGCCTCCTGCTCAGGGTTGAGGACTCTGGGTGCTGTTCTAATTTATGGGGCCACCTGACCTGGGCCAAATTCCCTGCTCTGACATTCTTTCTCAGGGGCAAGCCTGCGGGCCAAGCTCGGCCGCATGCCCTTGACCTTCCAGGGCCCCATCCAGCGGTGTCCGCCCCTGAGGCTGGAGTGTGGCTCTGGGCCAGGATGGGCCACGGGCACCAGTGGCCACATCCATTCATTCAACCCGGAGCCTTCACAGGCTTGGAGACTGCACTTTCGAGGAGGAGGAGGGAGGGCCTGACATGCAGCCCCCAGGAAGGTTGGGGCTGGGGCCCACCCCTCACCAGCTGCACCATCTGGGACCAACACTGCTGTCTTCTTTTCCCCAACAGGCAGGGGGCAATAATAGTATGAAATCACGACATTATTGTGAGGTTTAAATGGCTGTAAATTGTAAGTACATGTGAGAAGAACATGCAGTGTTAAGAAGGCTGCCAGGTATCTAAGAAGTATTCAATACATATTAGCTGGTAACATTAAATAAATAAATAAATAAATAATAATAATAATAATAAAGAGGGTACTGAGATAGAGTGCCTGGGGCTCAGAGTAGGGCATGCGTGCATGTGGGTAGACAAAGAAGACTACCTGGGCAACTTGACATTTGAGCTGAGTCTTGACTGATGTGAGCCAGGCATTGGGAACATCAGGTGCAAAGGCCCTGGGGTAGGAATGAGCTTGGTGCATTCAAGGGCTAACACCAGAATGGAGTGTGGGGAGGGGAGTGAACAGCTAGGGGATGGGATTGGTGAGGCATGGGGAGGGGAGCCTATGGCACCCCAAGGCCCCACTGCTGCAAATTAGACTCAGACTCTCCTGGCCTGGGTCCTAATGATACCTTAAAAAATTGATAAATCCTCAGCACTCACACCAACCAAGAGACAGAGAAAGTCTGGGAGGGAGTGGAGAATAATTTAAATTCTCCATGCTCTTCCCTAAGGCAGGCACATGTTTGCATTAGTCCCCATTTTCCCAGTGTTTTCCTGAGCCTAAGTCTAGGACTCTGCCCTGTCCCTTTCTCTGTCTTCTGCCAGAGGGTTCTGGGTCAGCCTCCGCCTTGGGAAATGCCAGGAAGGGCAAAGGAACCACCCCCACCTCCCAGTTGCTGACACCCCAGGGGAGCAGCCAGCTAATGGGACCATGGGGAGAGTGTGTGGGCAGGGTGCCCCATGCTAGACTAGGATAAGTACACTGGGAAGGCAGAAGGGAGCAGGGAGTCCCTTCAACAACAACCACAAAGTACATTCTCTAGGGAAAAATCCTACTTCATTCTTCTTGGGGATCAACTCAGAGCCGGCTGGACATTTGTAGTCAGAATGTGGCTAGGTGGAGGCAGGAAGGCCTCTCCTGTGTGCTTGGAGGGAAGAGGCTGCATCAGAGCCTGGGCCCGGAGGACTTGGCAGGGAGGGGAGGGCTGCATGGGGGTGAGTGGATGGTGGACAGGGCCATGGTGGCTTTAGGGTCCCACAGAGCAGAGTGGAAGACAAGAGCCTGAGCCCTGAGTTGGACAGACACCGGAGTCCTGGGTGTCACTGGGCAAATGCTGTGCCTCCCTGAGGCTCATGTTCCCATCCACAGAATGGGATGACAACAGATGACTCCAGGGTCTGTGACCAGAGAGAGAGAGAGAGAGAGAGAGAGAGAGATGCTCACGGCACCTCCTGCTGCCATCTGCTCAGCAGGCACTCTTGTCCCTGCAGGTACCAGAAAGGACACTAGTGCCAAGAGCCCAGTTCCAGTCTCGCTTCCAGAGGGGGCTGCCTTCTCCTAGACCCGCGAGTCTCTCTGGGTGGGGATTTTGCTCCCTTGCCGGGGGCATTGCCTGGGGAGGTTTTGGTTGTCAGGTCTGGGGGATTGCTATAGGAGGCCAGGGATGCCTCTAAATGTCCCACAGCATACAGTACCACCCCTCCACAAAGCTTATTTGGCCTCAAGTGCAACAGGGCTGAGATTGAGAAACCCTCCTCCAAGCCAGGCATGGAGGTGCACACCTATAATCCCAGTAGTCGGGAGGCTGAGGCAGGAAGATCACCATGAGCTCAAGGGCAGCCTGGGGTACATAGCAAGACCCTGCCTCAAAAACCTGAGACACAGAGAGAGAGAGAGAGGGAGAGCGCCGTGCTCCAGACTCATGGTGTGACCCGGCAGTGGTCACCAGCACACGTGGCTGTGAGTGTGTGCAATGAGGCCAGTCCACGGGGAGCCCTGGTGTAAGTTTAACACACTGGGTTTCAAAGACTTAGCATAAAACAAGAAAACAATCTGTATGTTAATTACATATTTGGATATACTAGGTTAAATAAAATATATTATGAAAAGTAATTGCACCTATTTATTTTAACTTTTAAAAAATGTGGACTCACAACATCGACAGTGAGAGTGGGGCCCGTGGGACAGTGGTGGCCTTGCCGCCTCCACCTCTCTGGGCTGGGGAGGAGCTCATGGACGGGTGAGGGTCTGGACTCTTGTGGCTGTGGTTGTGTCCCAGGAAGGGCAAAGGGAGCCCTCACAGTTCTTCCCCTGTCCCTCACTGGCCTGTGCCTCACTCTGTAGGGTGCGGGCCTGAGCACAATCCCCTCCTTTGCTCCTCACCCCCAGGGGCCACCTCACCGGGCTTCCAGGCAGAACCAAAAGTGTCCCAGCAAACAAACAGAGGGGTATGGTGACAGCTGTGGCTCAGAGACCTGACCACCTGGCTTCCAGCCCACTCCCTGGCAGAGCTACAGGTGCCAGGACCTCACTCCACTGGTCTGCTGTGGCGTCAGTGACCACCCAGACTGAGGTGTACATGTGGGACCACTGAGGCCCAGGCCTGGGCCAGGCAGAAGCAGAGATGCAGGCCAGGGCAGAGTCGCAGAGAGGTCCCGGGGCTGGATGGGATCAGCATGGGAAGCACCTGCTGTGGAGGTGGCAGTGGGGTGGCTGGGCAGGTGGGCAGGACTGCCAGCACCACAGGGATGGCAGGAATGAATGTGCTCAGGGGGGTATGGGGGAGACATGGGCTTTGTCAGGGCCCTGGGAGAGCAGGTGCTCCAGGTGGCAGAACAGTTGGGGAGCGATAAGGCACAGAGAGGCCAGGGGACTGAAGATCACAGTTCCTCCTCCTCCCTAGCGACGGGACCATGTCAAAGCTTGCTATAGAGGCTGCAGATAGATCCACCCTTCACCCCGCTGGCCACACCTCCAAAAGCCCCATTCGCACAGCAGGAAGCTGGGCCATTGCACTTGCTGTGTCCCCAGGGCCCTATCCTATGCCCGCTGTTTCAGAAATCCTGCGTTCTACCGAGTTTGTGGAGAGAGAGGTGGGAAGGGAATAGGATCTTGGATCTGGGGTGCTCCCAAAGACCCTTTCCCTGCATCCAGAATCCCAGGCCCTCAGCACACAGAAGGTGGTCTCTCTCTGACCCCAAAGTGAAGCCAGGGAAGGCATTCGGGGACACAGAGCTCATGGCCAGAGCCTGGCACAGGCAGCCACCTGAGCCCCCGGAGGGTGAAATCAGAACTGTAAGCACCCAAGGAGCCAGATTCCCCTGTCGTCCTGCCCCTGCCCAGCGAACCTCCAGAAGCTTCTGCTGAGCAGACCGGAGGAAGCAGGAGCTGGGCTGGGGTGGGATGAGTCAGGAGGGCTGAGGAGAAGTGAAAGGGGAGTGAGCAGTGGAGAAACTGAGGGTGCTGATGTCCCCTGGGAATAGGGGTAGAGAGGGCCAGAGGGTGGGCAGACTGGGGAAGTGGAGGGTCTTGGAGAGGGGTCGTGAGGGAGCTGGGCCATTAGGGTGTCTGGAGGGGCTCAGGGAATCCGACAGAAGGTGTGGGGCTGCCAAGTTTCTGGGTGAAGTTCCTAGGATTTCTGGGAGCCTCCAGTTGAGGGGCCACTGGGGCTGGAGTCAGGCTGTTCACGTCCCGAGTCAGGGGAAGCGGGGGTGGGGGTGGGGGTGGGGGTGTTGGGGATTTCTGGCCGAGCGTGGTGGTCCCAGGGGTCTCTGGCCCAGCTCACCTGTAGACATCGGTCCAGAGCTGCGTGCCCAGCACGTATACCGCCTCAATGCGGCTCCCGAACTGCAGCCGCACTGTCCGCTCGCGCAGCATCTTCCCGCACCCTGGCCACGCCAGCACCTGTCACAGGTAAGCCTGCTGCTGCAGCCTTCGTCCGCCGGACGCTGCGAGCTGCCTTATCCCGCCGCCGGGGGGAGTGGCGTGGGAGTGGCATCCGCCGGGCTCCTCTCCCATTGGGTTCACTGTGGTCCCGCCCTCAGCTCGCCCCACCCCTTTGCCGAGATCCGAGTGAAGTCACCGTGTAGGCAGTCTAGTCTTTTCCCCGTTTGGCTTGATCTTTTTTTCATTCAACAAACCCCGTCTCCCTCCAGATCCCCGCAGCTTAGTGAGTCAGAAAATTCCACGTGAACTGCCAGAGGGAGGATAGGAGTTAGTGGGAGGCAGAGAGGGTGCCCTAACCCAGTCTGAGGTCCAGGAAGACTTGTCAGAGGAAAGGACCCGAGCCTTTTTTTTTTTTTCCTATACTGAGGATTGAATTTAGGTCTTTCGCACTGAGCTACATTCCCAACCTTTTCTAAATTTAAAAAATTGGAGATACGGTCTTACTAAATAGCTAAGTTGCCCAGTGCCCAGACAGGGTCACAACTTGTGATTCTCTTGCCTCAGCCTCCTAGGGTGCCACAGCACCAGGCTGCCTCAGCCTCCTTGAAGGAGGTGTTTACTGACTGGGGGAGGAGAGACAGCCTCCTGACCAAAGCCAGGAAGCAGGACATAGCCCAAGAGCCCTGCCCTCCCCATTGGATTACCATTGCCATAGGGAAATTGGGGCGTGGGCTTGGAGTGGGGAAGTCAGCAGCTGACAGGGCCAGAATGCTGGGCCAGGCCGGCACAGGTGGGAGCCCGGGGCGTTCCTGGGAAGGAGGACAATAGGCCTCCCTGGCAAGGCAGGCAGTGCAGACCCCACAGAGAGCGTGAGAGGGCTGCAGAGGAGGGGATTGACCCGACCGGTGTTTATGGGCTGAGATTTGGGTGGCACCTGGTGACTGACAGGATGTGCCAGTCCAGGGGGCAGGGATGGGGTGAAGATTAGGGCCTGGGCCTGGCCCAAGTCGCTGAGGGAAGGGACTGCCCTGTAGAGGTCAGACTGTGTTCTGTGGGTGCAGAGATGTGGGGTGACATTGACTGGGGGCCTGGGCAGCCCTCCCCCATAAGCCCCTTCTTCTCAGACCCAGGCCAGGGGCAAGTGAGATGATTCAGTCCCGTGTGAATGAGGGGTCTTTCTTGGTGGGGGGCCTGGAGGGTGAGTGGGCAAAGGAGAGGCTATTCGGCAAGGCGGTGGGGGTCCCAGGAAGGGGTGCACCTGGACAGAGCTGGGCTGGAGTGTGGGTCAGTGGGAGAGCACTTGCTTAGCATGTGTGATGGGTTCGATCCCCATCATTGCAAAAAATAAATAGATTTAAGTCATGCTGGATTCTTCCTTAATAAAACTAAAACACAGGGTGGCCAGAGCTGAAGCACACCCAACCTTCTCCCCGGGGGCCCAACTAAAGAGGTAGTGAAGAGCCCAGCTGCTTCCCAGGGCAGGCAGGATCTGGGAGGAATGTGGGTGGAGAAGGGGGAGTCCAAGTCCAGGCTGGGGGTCCGGACCCCCCCCCACCCACAGGGAGAGGCTGGTGACTTCTGATTGACCCCTGGTGGCCTTGATGAGTGCATCCTCCAATCAGAGCTGACTTTGAGGCCCACAGAGGTGGCTCAGGCACAGGCACCCCCTGCCCTGAGTTCCTTTTGAAGCCTTACTGTGTGTGGCAGATGCTGGACACACACCAGGGTGCTAATTTTTCTGGGGTACACAGAACATCACTGATTCATTCCACCCGTGGGAAACTGGGGTCCTGAGGAGGACATTGCTGGTCTGAATCAAGCAAGGCAGAGGCTAGTCATGACAGGATCAGCGCAGAGGTGACACAAAGCAAAGAGAAACTCCCTGAGAGAAATAGCAGTGGGTGCTTATGGTGCTCTGCAGGCTGTGCTGGTCCAGGTGGCACTCGTCATGTGGATTAGGGTCAGGGCATTGTATCCTCCAGTAACCCACTACACAGAGAGTGTGAAGAAGTAGCCTGGGTTGCACGGCTCCAGAGAGCATCAGGGCAGGATGGGAACTTGTAGGCCTTCAGGCTGCAGGCAGCGGCAAGGGAAGGGTCCTCTCAGCCTTGCTCTTGGACAGCCATGGGCAGGCAAACAACCCGTCTCTCAGCACGACGAGAGCATGATGTTAAATGAGATGATGATGTACAGAAATGAAGCCCCCTCCCCTTAAACAACCCAGCCCTGGCCAGCCACCCACACGCAGGGCTGCTGCTGTCTCTGGCTTGCCCTGTTGGGCGCAGTGCCTGCTGGATAGGCCAGGAGTTTCCTGGTGCTCAAGGGTTTAAAATAGCTGAAGTGGTCACAGCTGTTGCTGGATTCAGGGCCGGAGGTCTCACGCATCACGGCTGCTCCCACTGCTCCCCCAGGGGCCTGGAAGATCCACAGGGATCGCTCAGTACCTTTTTCGAGATGCCAGCAAAGGGCAGACCTAGCTCGGGCCAGTTCCTGGCGCTGACAGACCCACACCCCCAGCAGCCTCCACCCCTGCCAAGCAGGTGCCAGAGCTCTGGGGCTGGTAGAGGGGTCTTTTGTGCTGCCTCCTGCTGTGGTCCTTCTTGGAGGTCTCTCGGGCCAGGCCTGGGGAAGCCTGGGTGGAGTGGACACAGACATCCACGGCCTGCTTTAAGGACACTGGCAGCTCATCCTGTGTGCAACAATGTATAAAGAAAGAAATACACAGTAATGCCTGGTCATTGTGGAAAAACTGAAAAAGTATATGATCATCGAGGACCCTGCAGCAAAATCATCCCAAATGTGACCTTGCAGGGCCTGCCCTGAGGCAGTGCACAGCTGTGATGAGGTCCATACGTCCTGAGCCTCGGGCAGCTTCCCACGTCTTAGTTCACTTTATCTACACAAGGACCCTATGAGGTGAGTGCTGTTGTCAACACCCGTTTGCACGAAGCCATCGACCTGCCTGAAGAGAGGGGTGGGGCCTCTGGACTTGGTAGACTTGGGGGGGTCAGGTCTGGCTCTTTCACTCATAGCTGGGGACCTCTCTGGACCTCTCTGTTTCTTCCTCTGTAAAGGAGATGGGAGCACAAACCAGGATTACAGAAAACAATGGAATGACACACAGGCTACTGCACAGTGTGTCCACTGTGGCTGGGCACCCAGCTGAATCTCACGGATGCATATAGACAGTTATTCAAAGCTGTGTAAAGGGGGCTTCTGATGGTCCGTGCTATTTTATAACATACTTCAAAGCCTGTGCAATGTGAGAGGCGGCCTGGCCATGTGACTCGGGCACACAGAGCCTGGGGAGTCTGTGGAAGGCTTTCCGGCTTTGTCCTAAGGTCATGGGAAGCCATAGAAGGACTCTGGAACAGGGCGATGGCACGAGATACGCTTTAGGGTGATCATGCTGGCTCTGTGGGGAGCTGACTGAGGCAGGAATTCTGGCAGGAGACAGGGTGGGCAGCAGTGGGACCTGTCTCCTGCCTGAGAGATCCCATGGTGCTTCACCCTGCTCCGCCTTGCTCTGCTCCCTCTCCCTTGTGTCCTCTGGCCCAGCTGAGCCCACCTCCTGGTCCCAGCGCCTTGGGAGGCGTCTCTGGCCAGCTGTGAGGAGGGGCCACAAATTCCATGTGAACTGCCTCAGCCCTCCACCCTGCAAGACATTTCCCATGGAGGGAGGGCTGGGTGTCCCATCACTCAGACTACTAATAAGGAAGACTTGACTCATCTCTGGTCCTGGTCTTCTCTGCTCCACCTGGTCCTGTACCACCTGGGAGGATGAGTGTGAGGAGGTGGAGAGATGTGTTAATGCACTGGCTCCATGATTGTGAGGTTGGAGGTCTAGACATCTGAGTAGAGTGGACATTGCATTCTTTTCTTTTAAATTAAAAATTGCAAAACTTTATTTCTTTTTTTTTTTGGTACTGGGGATCAAACTCAGGACCTTAAGCCTGCGAGGCAGGCGTGGTGCCACTGAGAAAATTTTATTTCTTTTAAAATTGCCTTTATCACAATTTGAAATCTGGAGAAGCCCTTTTCCTATCCAGAGACTTCATGAATATTGATAGAATGGCAAGTTTTTCTTTTCTTTTCTTTTTTTTGTCTTGGTACCGGGGATCGAACTCGGGTCCTTGCACTTTCGAGGCAGGCGGTGGACCTACTGAGCTAAATCCCCGGCCCCAAGTTTTTCATTTTAAAAGGTCATGTTGACAATGGCCAAAGATGATCTCCATAGGCATTTGTCCAACATCTAAGAAGCAGTGAGATCTTCAAGCAGCCAGTCCAGAACTTATAGTTTAAATCCCTCCACATAACAGGAAGAGGTCAAATTTTTATGGCCCAACAAGGGACAACTGCTCCACGATGACGCTCCTGGATGGATTCCAGGGTATTCAATTTCACCTGGCAGCGAGCACATCTGCCCCACTCCCCTTATTCTCTTCTTTTCATCACAAGGCTTATTGGGAACTGTTTTTGAATGCAGCATGTTACAGAGATGTGTAGAGTATTAATGCACTGAATCATATGTGATTGGAGTTTCAGTGAAGGTACCTGATTGTTATCCATAAACCCTCATGCCACAGAAAGTTAGAAAATAAATGAGGTCAAAGAAGTCAGGCAGGGCAGCCATGGCCCAGCGTAAGCTCATGGGGCTGTAGTCACAGGTTATTCACCAGGGGCAATGGGCTCCTTCTGACCGGGAGCCACACTGCTGTACAGCTCACCATCAAATGCACACGAGTCAGCTTGAAAAGCAGGGGGAGCCCCGCTAACATGCTGAAGATCATTGGTCAAACCTCAGCCTGAGGGATCACTGGTAGCAGGAAAAGGATGGCACATTCCTGAGTCTGAAATCTGCAGGTTGGTAACTCAGTTTCTGCCTATTGGTCTTGAAGCAGGATTGTTTCTTCTTCGGGAAACCTCAGTCTTTGCTGTCAAAACCTTCAACTGATTGGACAAGGCCCACCCACTGTTTGGAGGGAAATCTGCTTTATTTGACATCTGCTGATTAAATGCTAATCACATCTGACAAATGCCTACACAACTACATCTAGTTGGTATTTGATTCAAT